CGGGGGAGGGGGGGGGTATGCCTGTTGCGATGCCATTTCAGTTATCATCTGTGGCCGGGACACCATCTAGGAGAGGAGTACAGGAGTATGCGTTCCTCCGTTATTCGAACGACGAAATAGCGCAAGAGGCGCTAAGCAAACTCATGGTGCTATTTCCCCTTGGCAGTGGTCCTTTAAACGCACATCTATGGGGTACAGTTTGCGTCTGTGAGCTGTTAGATCGATTGGCGGGGTCGTGCACATGAGCCTTCTGTTAAGTTTTTTCGACTGCAGGAAGTGTCTGTAGTGCTCAATCTGAACGTCCGAAGGCTCCACCGACACAGACAGCGCGGGAGGTCAGCACTGCCACGGCCCTTTCGCCGCTCCAGCAAGAGGACGCCTGCTCAGCTATGGTTATACTGACCTCTGGTGGCGCCATTGAATTGCAGCGATATCAAGTTTTTGATTGATCTATGCAGCCCTATTGAACCCTTAACGCACTCCGCTAACTGCAGCATCTTCATTGCAAATCTACCTCCTCTAACAAACAGTGTAAGTACCAGAGTAACGCCTCCGAGCGAATGCTCAACGTTTTATATATTTCTACGGCTTTTGTCTTTTGTTTGCACTACAACAGGGCCAGTTTCTATTCTGCTGGTTTAGACGCTGGACGGGATGTCGGTTAGTGTCGGTGCAGCTGCCCTTGTTTGCTGCGTTCTATGCCTAGGAAGAACTCCACGAAATTTGTTCATATTTTCACGTTGTAAGAGCTGCTGAAGTCCACCCAACAAAGGTGACGAATTCTTAGAGTTTCACGTGGTGTTTCCCAACTGCTCTCTCACCCCAGGGAGCTTGGGAGCATTCCTGGCTCTTCCTCTCATGAAAAGCAATCGGTCTCGCCTCGGTATCAGTGATATATGCGTGTATCCCGACGAATATATGGCTGTTGCAGATGTTTGTACTTTGGTCGTGGTCAGTTTTTCTGTTGCACCTTGCGTGCACGCAATCTACATAGCCAGCTCAGTCCTCCTACGCCTTACACCTTCTTTGCAGAATTTTGGTTTTGTTCGCCTGGCGTCTCACGAAGCGGCGTTGGCAGCCATTACTCACCTTCATGGCCTAAAGCTTCGAGGATGGGTAAGTACGACCCAGCCGTTCGGGTTACGTGCTTGCTGATATCTCCTCTATTGTGCTGTGGACAACACATCTTATAAGGGGTAAAAAGAATTGAGGGATGCACCAAAGCAACTATGGTACTTCGTGATTGATCAGACGCTTTCCTGTGCATGGAGCACGAGGACCCTAAATTCCAATGAGGAGGAGTCGCTTGACGACTCATGGGAGAGAGAAGAGGAGGTGAGGAGCACTAGGTGCACAGTAACTGCTGAAGAAAGTGGCGAAGCGCTTAAGCGGAAGCAGAAGTTATTAGCCATGACACAAGAATGCAACATTGCGAAACGGTCTCCGAAATTTCAGGCGTACGCAGTAATGTCTGCACAGTGCATGGAGTATGATGGGGAACCAAGGCAGCCACCCTCAGTTCAAGGGTCGGGAGCTGGCTCGGTTGTAATGAGCCCGAGGGCACCAGCTAAACGCACCGCCACAGAAGCAGCTGGAGACGCATTCTGGCTTTCCATTTTGGCTGAAAATGGTCCCCTCAACGTGGGAGAACTCTGTAGTAGGATGAAACGCCGTCAAAGACAATTGCAGGAGTGGCACGAGCAGCAATGGGAGGAAGACCCGGCCCCCCCGAATGTGCATGCTCAAGTCCCAGAGTCCGTGGCAGAGTAGAAGTTTACGTCTCGTACAGCTCTGTTCAGCTGTGACAAGCAACGTCCCACATTTGTTCGTTGAGGTTACCTTATGGTGTTGTGCAGTGTCAAGCCCTTGGGAACTTAGCCAAAAGTGACAGTGGGCGAATCCTTTACTCCATTGCTTGGAGCTTAAGAAGTGAATGCTAACAAAGCGGTGACTACTAGCACAACTTCGTCTCACAAATTCACCGTAGTTCGTCCCAAGCAACATTAGGGCTGTTTCGTCTGGTGTCGTTCCGACGCCTGCTAGTAACTGCAGCCAAAGGCATTTTCAACTGTCTCCCTGACTAAACGTTATTTCTTTCGGCTCATTTAAGTGAATGAAATGGAGCAACTACTGGCGGTGCTGTATGTTGATGAGGTAGTGATATAGGGAAAGCTCAGTTTTTCCTGGGTTTTGTGGCAAGTGTTTAACTGCATTGTCATGCCTGTGCTCGCTTTCAAATCCAGGCCTGGATCCACAACGCGTTGAATGCATTGCCCACAAGCGAGCAGGCCGCACTTGGCCGACGGAAAACCCTTCATCTCTCTACGTGTGGGCGTTCTGTCCCGAAGGTTGCTGGCAAATGATTTGCAAATCACATTCCGCAACTGCCTGCGAATACATACTCCCCAATCCAATGGCGAATTCACAGAGATTCCACATAGTGGCGTTGATGTTGACGACAGCAAAACATCTGCTACGGTAGGAGAAGTTGGTTCAAGGGATTTTATCAGTGATATAGCTCGCATGTTGCTTGTGGAGCTGGAGTGTGTGGACCGCCCTCTGCTTGCAGTCACCTACTCTTTTTAAGGAGCGCGAGCTCACGAGTTGTCGTGTCAACTGCCAGGGCTACTTGTATAGTGCAGAATGTGTGTAGAGGAAGATGAACCTCGCATCATTTTTCAATTTTGAACATTTCCAATCTGAAGTGGTATCGAGCGCTTTTTGATTGGGCTACGTCTGAGCAACGGTGGTCTGGTCTCTTGGTGGTTGCGAACGTGTGTAATGGAATATTGTTCTGTAGCAGAGAGCGAAGTGGGGATACGACAAAGCAAGCCACCCCATTGTTTCCTCCTGATCAAATGTCACGAATTTTGAAGAAGAAGAAGTCAGGATTTGATTGCGTTTTTCGTATGGTGTGGGTCTGCTCCGCAGGGCGTCTACAACGGCGGCGGCCCGTTTCTGGTGTGGTTCCTTCTCAACTTTAGCAAGTAACAGTTAGAGTCTCGCGTGTCCTTACTTCTTATGGTCAGAATGTGTAGTTTTTATAGCGCAGTCCTCCTGAATTTGTCGATATGTAGCCCACCTCGTGGAAAACCTTGATCGGCCCTCGTCGACCCCGTTCGTACGTTCGTGCACATGTTCTCTCGTTTCTTGCAAGTAATGTGGAAACGTTCTGCACTATTTTTCTGCCAAACGTAGACGTGCATCCTCCCTCAAAGCAGAAAGCGTTGAAACAGCTGCCTTCTTGTTCCATCTTGAGAATACAGAGTCCCACAGTACCTGATTCTTTTGCTCTTGGGGGGGAAGCTAAGGGGCCAAAGTGTTTCCCTGAAGCTCACCCGTCTTGTCATTGCATAACCACTCTTAAATATTGAGAGTAGAGTGGTAAAATACACCTAGTCTGGATATCAGTCCAACTCGCAGGCACACGAGGACCTTGAGGTAGCGTCAACATTATATACTCCTGCTAAGGTCAACTGGACCGCCATTAACAAGACCTTCCCAACATAAAGGAGAGATTTGCTTTGGTTTCCTCACAGCGCCTATTAGCAGCGGATTCGTACGTGTTGTCTGGAACTGCTTGTAGCAATGCCCTTCGGTTCGCCTATGTCCCCTGGAAGTGGAATTAACTAGCGCGAGCCCTCCGGTTTTCAACATGCAACCGGAGGGTTCCTTACCAGCCGCATCGGCTGGGGCAACTCCGCCCTCGGGGTTTAGTCGCAGTGGCTATTCATCAGCTAACAACTATGGGGTTTCTGCAACTTCTCCTAAGGCCGGCCTTCCTGCAACGAGGAAACATGCTATAAATGAGCCTAATACGTGGGGAATTAAAAAGGCATCCAGCATTCTTCTAGAGCTGGAAGCTGGAAAGAGGGAGGCGGAAGAAAGGAATGCTCTAAACTCAAAACTTTTCGAGCTTGGCACAGAATTGAGCAAAGTCAGGTGCGGCTTTTACAATTTCTCCTTCCAGTGTCCTACCATGTGGACCGTCCCCTTTACCGAATCTGACCGTTCTCGTCATAGCTGAGGCCAAGCCTCTCGCGGTTGCACTTTATGAGCACCTCTTTGATGCCACTTTCGCCTGTAGCGCGACGCAGGCTTGCAAAGTATTCTGGCTTTTTGGGTTTTTGTCGCAGGCGAGTAAATGACGTTCTGGAGGCGGAGAATGCCGATCTGCGCGAACGTATTTTGCATCAACAGGTTAGGGAGCTCCTCTCATCCTAGACAAGTACTACGTTCTGAACTGTATCCCCAGTTGGTATCATTTCGTTTGGCCTATGTCCAGTGCAGACTAGGACGAAAAATGTTAGGGTTCTTGGGGCCAGGAACTATCTGTGCGAGCGTTGCTCATGTAGCCGTATGCCTAGATGATGTAGTTTGCTTAACCACCTCCCTCTGCAGTGTCTGCGTGTTGCCGTTGCAGCAAGCGTACCCAGAGGCGGAGGAAATCCGCGCTCTCGCTCGACGCTACGGACCAGAGTTGGCCAAAAGTATTACCCTCTTGATTGACGAGAACAAGTCTTTGAGGCTGAAGTTGCAGGCTTCCATTCGTGCACAGGCCCGCTTACAAGGCACCGCCACAACTTTGGGCAACGCATTGAGAGACCATGAGGAACGTGCTTACGCAAGGGAACTTACATCGTCGGGACGATCTGACAGCCAAACAAAGGATGACAGAGTCCGCTATCTCACCGCAACTACGCACGGGATACAGATGGGTGGTCAAAGTGGCTCTGTCGATCGGCAGGGGCCACAGTCTGTTGGAAACTTTGTTAGTCGATATTGCGCTTGCTCCCAGAAGCTTCAGGAAATTTTGGATTGCATCGATTCCCAAATGGGGGACTATGAGAGGGGAGTATGGCAGACACATATCAATGTATTGGAGGAGGAGCGAGATAGCCTGATGCTGAAGTGAGACTTGAGAAGCCGCAGCAGCAGAATGCTTGTTCTGCAGTGTTACTCATGACATATGTGTGGTTTTGATGCTAACGAAAGGTCTGAGGGCATGGGATGCGGGACAAGCACACAACCTGGACGAATTCATTGTTCATGAGATATTTCGCCGCCAGTGGTTTTTCCGTCGTGCACAGGACTATCGTCATGAGGCAGCGATTGGCGGAAGTACAGGCAAGAATTGTCTCTGATCCCTTTCTCGCTGCACGTTTTGGAGGAGCGGGGGCTGCTGAAGACGCGCTTGGGCCTGGTCAGGGGCGGAACGCGATGATGGACCTGAGGGACACAATCGTTCAGCTTGCAACGGCACAAGTAGGTCTTTGGAAGCAGGTGAATATGTCGGTGAGCGCACGCAAACACGGCAGAGGATCACTCGTCTTCATGGGTTATTTTCACTTAATAGTTGATATATATGAATTTGTATGCGGATCGCAGGATGTCAACGCCGAGCTAGAGAGGCGACTGGCAACCGAGCGAAACATCTCCCGCAGTTGGCAGGCAAACCTGAGAGCTCTGCAGCGAGAGGTAAGAGTAATTGCTATCTACGTCTGTGCAGGACGACAATATCTGCAACACCTCCGCCCTCTTTAGCCCAGGTTGACTGTGGTGGCCCATCTAACGTGCGACTGGACAGTGCGCTTGCGGATATCACTCCGAACATTGCTCTCACATACACTTCGGCGCCGTGCATTTGGCAGTTGCCCTTGTTCTTGGGGTGCGCACTCTGTATGCAGCTCAGAGATCATCTGGCAGACCTCGCTGTTGCTGCGCGGGCGTCTGGGCTTCGATGTGACATGCTTCGTGGAACAATTGCCCAGGCAGGGGAAGCGGCTGCGCTCAAGGAGATTCAGGGATTTACACGAAGCGAAAAGGAGAGCCTGCGGCTTCTCCGTCTTGCCAGGGACAGGATAGCAGCCGATGCGCACAGTAAGTGTGTCCTTCAGGCAGCCTCCCCTGCTGCTTGTTCCTATTTATCTTGGGTACATGCTGTTGAGCTTTAGCAGATTGTCAGTTGGCGGTTGGAGCAAATGTCTCTGTAGCTGAACTTTAAATGACGCACTGCCATTTCCATACACCTTCTGTGACTTGGTGTTAAATGCTGTTCCAGGGATCGAGAGCTACTCTATCAGAGTGCGGGAGCTAGAGCAGGAAGTCGCCGATCTGCGGGTTAGACTCTGCAACTCAACTGACTCCCCCCCCCTCTATAAGTGTTGAGCTCCCCGAACCTGGGAGCATCCGGTATTGCCAAACGCGTATGTTAGCGTCTGTCAGTCTAAACTGAGTCCAGGCGACTATATATAGTCGCATGCGAGCTGCCTGGACAAATTAGCCCCCCACCTTGCCTCCCTGTAGCTGGCATGCGCCTCCCTCCGCTGCTCTGTAGCACCGCAACTATCTGTGGGTGCAGATTGTTCTGCCAGTGACAGCCAGGCGAGGTTGTTATGGTACCTCCTTTTGTCGTGCTGTGAAAGACTCATTTAAGAGGGGCCTTAAGCTCACCCCGAACTGCTGGGCGTTCTGCCCGGGATGTTTTATTTCTACATGTCGCTGGGGCAGTTCTGGTACGAATGCTAGACTGCCGGCCCCTTCTACAATTTAGACACATCTTCTAGTGCCGAAGTTGCCGTTGGTTGCGTGCGTGTTGCGTTTAGTGCGACATGACACGGCTCGATACAGGAAATATAGAAGAATGTGGAGAAGACGGTCAGGTGTTTGACTGCGGCTACAACCCTTCTGCTGAGCTGACGGCTTGCGTTGCTGCTCCTTCCGACACAGACTGTAGTGTCGCAGCACTGAGAACAGCCAAACAGTTGCTTATCGATCGCGAAGAAACAGAAAAGGTGATACGAGCACTGGAAGACAGGAAGCGCCAGATACATGAGCAGCAAGAGAACATTTTACCAGAAACGCATTCAGCAAGGCTTGATCTGGGGGACTCCACACAACCATGCGAAGATAGCAGTGCTCCCGGAAGTCTGGAAATCCCTCAGGTGGAAGCTACCTTTTTCAGCAATCAAATTGGCTCCGGAAGTTCCCGTACAAAGTTGTGGGACGCACTAACGACAGATCAGGCACGGGACATACTCCGGCGACTTGCGGTGCTCCGGAGGATAGCGAGTGATGCGACTTCATCCTTGGATGATAGACAGGAGCACAGTGGTTCTACGGAGAAGCCTTACGCCGAAGGTGCCCCCTCGGAAGGTTGGCAGAAGCTGAAACAGCTCAACAAAGACATCGATCAAAGAGAAGTTGCACTGCAGCAAGCTGAGGAAGCAATGCAGGCTAGGTCAGCACTCCGCAGAGCAGAAGCTGAGCACAAGAAAAAGATGAGGAGAAAAGAGGAAGAATTTGAAGAACAAAGACGCAGAGATGCCATGGAAGCTCGCGAAGAGATGATGAGGCAACAGAAACAATACGAGCAGCAGTTAGCAAAGGAAAGAAATCGCTGCGAATCTCTCAGGAAGGAAATGGAGGTGCAGGCGATGGAACTAGATCTCCAGAGACAGCTGGCAGAGGAAAGGATTCGAGAAAGATCACAAAAACAAAGTTTGGAGCTGGAGGAGGAGTTGCATAAGCTCCGCATGAAGCACAGGGAACTGGAGTGTGAAATGCAAAGAATCAAAGCCGACGCAGCACGAGAGGCATTGGCACTCAAGTCTGCTGCGACGGAAGAGAGGGCTGCTCTTTCTGCTGCTGCTCAGTCCGCCGAACGGAAGGCAAGCGAAGCGCTGAAGCTGGTAAAGGAGAAGGAGATGGAGCTCAAGGAAATGGAGGCAAAACTGCAGCAATCCCATACGGGCGGTCCAGTTTTACCACCTCCAGTTTACCACCCTTCCCAGAATACAGCCAAGAAGGGCCATACGACCGGCCTGAGTAAGCACGCGTCAATGAGAGACGCGTACTCGCTACACAATGCGGTTGTCAGCAAAACGGTCGCAGTGGGACACAAACGGTTTAGGTAGAACTACGAGACATGCGCATGCGTGCGTGTTCAACCCAGAGAAGTTCCAGGCAGTTGCCAACAAGGTGGCAATTGGACAAACATTTAGCAGGCTTGCAAGAAACAAACGCTCGAAAACAATTACTCCGGCGGCTTCCACCCGTAAGTACGATGTTCGGTCCTGTTACACTAAGGGGAATCCTAGCATTGGAGTGCAAGGGTCAACATTGTACCGCTGGCAAGCGTCTTCGGGAGCTTTCCATCGCCGCATTTTTTGTTTGAGCTTTGACTACAACCGAATGTAAATAGGGAAGGTGGTGTTTTCAGGGACTGAGGACGCAGCCCCTGAAATCCTTTCGCCAAGATCGTCCTTCAGGAAACTTGTTCTCGGAAGGTGTACATCTCTTGCCAGTGCTTTCAACCACATGGATGTTGATAACTCAGGGGTTGTCAAGATCGGCGTAAGTTACGGCACCGGTGGAGTAGAGGGACTATCTGATGAGGACGGTTAACTGCATGCAGCGTGTGCCGTGAGAATCCCTCTTCCATTCACAAAACCAAGAACTTTGAAGCTAGCACTTCACAGTTGAATTCCGGATGATCCCTACGCTGGCACGTTCAAGCAAAATATGCATACATTGCTCGTAGGTTGTGTCTTGATCACCAGACACAGCGATCGTTGTTCTCCTTGCCACGTTGTTCCCTCTCAGGACTTCGCAAATTTTGTTGACGACTTGGGCATGAACCTGCCATTTAGTGCTACACACGAGCTCTACAACACTCTTTGTGCCCCTTGCGAAGGCATGCTGCTTCTCAGCAATTTCTACAAAAACCTTCAAGGCGAGACGTGCACTTTGGCTGAGCTTCATCGAAGGCTTGAAGAGGCAGGTCCACCTTCCTCCCAAATATAGCAGCCTCCACGCATACGCACGAGCACGTCGTAGCCACTCTGGTTAGTGCATTTATGGACTACGTGAAGTTTAATATTTATGTGTTTGCTGACCTTTTCGCCAAAGGCGGCAGCAGAAGTCGTCGTGCATTTATGCGCGGGACGCCGCTAACCCACTTCCATCGATGTGTTTGCCAATGACGTGTTAGATCAGTCCAATCTTTCGCTGTTTTCCCTGGGCTGTCCACGTCATAGCCACTGCGGGTCAATGCATGTAGGGACTACCATAGATATTCGGGGATGTTGAGCAACCTTTTAATGACGCGGATATACCTCCAGAAGGGCGCGTGACCCAGGATCAGTTCCTCACCATTGCTGGCCAAGCAGGAATCTCACCAGCATGCGCCAATAGTCTTTGGGCCGAGATGGATAAGTCCGTAACATCCACCTTTTCACTTGAGTGAAAAGTCCCTCTCCTGTGTAGGATATGTTAACGGGTGCTGGAGCATTTGCAATCTCTCATACCCACCTGATGTTCTGTTGGTGCTTTGCAGAGCGAGCCGCGGCAGCCTTCAAAGAGAAAACGTCTTGCTTCTGCTAGAAGGTGGGCCCGTAGTTTCAACGGACCAGTGTCAGTGCTTGCGTTCACCTAGTCTTACAGATATACTGCAACCAAGATAGCATGGCGTTCACGCCGTGAGGCTTCCACGCATGCCAGTGACGCTGCTGTGTCTTCCCAGACAATGTAGACCCGGAGGAGGTGGAACGAGTGGAGCGAGATGCAACCAATGTACTGAATAATGTACTGAATGTTTTCTCGGGAGCGGCCAAGGCTCCAAAACCTGAAGCAAAGATTTGCAAACGCTCATCCTTCAAGAAGCTTACTTGTATGGCACCAGATAGAACATTTCAGTGCGATTTGTTTCCCCACGGCTGGTCCGCCGTTGCATGTCACTGGGTCCCTCGGTAACAACTATAGAGTGCTGCGTGAACTTTCTGCTTTAATGAAGCTTTATGTGCCTCCTGGTGTTAACCGAAGCAGCAGTGTATGTGCAACAAGCCAAAGTGCTCGTTTTCCCCAACTTCGCACTCCAGATCCTTCGGCGCTCAATGCACATACCTAACTTTCCTGTTCACTTTAGCATATCACCCGCGTGGCAATTCATTTTTCTTTGAGCCATTCGCAGACACCTCTACCCACAAGGAACTTGGATTTAGCGCCAATGAGGCACAGGTCGACGCGGTTCTTGCTGATTTCCCCCCATGGGATTGCATGTACCCGGAGGACCGCAAAGCCATGATAGGAGATATGAAGGCCCGAACAGTGACGGGGGGAGGACTGATTCAAGCAGAAGACGATCCCAGGTGCCCATTGTTCGTCATTCTAAAGGGGACTGTGGACATACTAGAGCCGGTAAACGAATGCTGCAACGCAGCTGTTGTCCATAATTCAGCACCGATTGGTTCTGGCCAACGGTTTGGTGCCGTTTGGTAGTTTGCTCCAAATTACATTGTTAGGCCTATGGTTGATTAATTGCCCATTCTTGTGGACAGGGATTTATTCAATACCGCCACGTCGAGAGCTTAAGCGCACCTTGCTTGTTGTTCTCGGATAATCTAATTGAGGGAACACCGAACGTAGTTTGTGCCAAAGCAGGTGAAGGCGAAGATGTCTTTTTGTACTCTCTTGAACGAAGCGTATTCGAAAGGTCCTACGAGGTGCGATTCTTCAAAACATAACGGTGCAGCTCTTCAGGAGTGTTTTTATTATGGGGAGGTTTCCTGCGTGACTTCGTCTCAAGGTTGTCTCCATTTTGCAAGCCAGATGCGAAGATTCATTAGACATCAATCTTCTTGCTTTTGACGCAGCCACTAGCTACACAAAGACAGAGAGAAGTGGAGGATTACCAGAAGTTGCTCCGGAAAGTACCCGTGGTTAACAAGCTCACTCCGGAGCTGCTGAGATGTCTTGCCGCGGTAAGGAAGTTATGAACCTTTAGACCAAGGATCCGCATCGTTAGTCATCCTTTGATAGAGGATACTAAGCATGCTCTCCATGCGGCTTGGGTCTCTCTCAGACCTTCAGGAAACAAACATTCCATGCAGGCGAGAAAATCATCGACAAAGTGGGTTACATTAGCAGTCTTGACTGCCACATATGAGGGCCAGAAGAGGTTTTGGCTTGACAGCTATATCACTGCTTATTAACGTACCTGCTGTCTACAGTAAAATCTCATCTATGTACTTCTGCATCATAGCGAAGACGTGATATGCAGTGAAATACCTCGTACGTACATACTGTGTACATGCATCTCCTCCGGTGTTACAGGGAGAGTCCGCAAACCGTGTTTTGATGGTAAAGGATGGGGAAGCTGTAGCAGTGGGGCTCACAGATACAGACGAGGAGGTGGAGCTTCGAATTTACGAACCACTTGATTTTTTTGGCGATATTACAAAAGCCAAGAGTCGGTCCCACACTGCATCAGTCAAGGCCCAGACAGATTGCACAGTGAGTCTCACCAACAAGCCACACTGGCACCGGATAGTAGGAGAATAGAGGTGAACGAGGCAGCCCAACTCCGGATGTGGAGCACACATGTTTAGTGGGCTGCTGTTCACTGTCGAGGCTTCAGATCTTGTCTATTGAGGCCGACATATTCTACAGTGTCCTACGCAAGCTAGAAATGGAATTCCGGAGGCGAAGTGGCCGTAGTTCCACAGTGGACAGCGTCATCGTAAATTTGCACAATCAAGGCAAAGAAGATGAAGTAAACGAAGGGGACGAAGATATGCAGAATCTCACAGGGAGCACCGAAGAACCTTCAGAAGACGCCGAGGTTTCCCCCAGCGGGGATACTGAGAGTGCTCAGGCGACTACCACAGCGTTGGCTATATCTAAGCGAGAAAAGACACTCGTCGATCAAGAACTCATCGAAAGACTGCTGCAGGAAGACACCGAAAGGGTGTGCTGCTGATTCGTATTTCTGTTGTTGCCTGGCCTCTATGGTAAAATTCCCAGCTTCTACGGGTGGCTTAGGGCAATGCTGTCTCCAAACTGTGGGCCAAATGGCCTCACGGAATAGGCGCAATGGCAGCTGTATTTCACAATTTTGAAGTGAAGCTGAAGTCTATATGATATGTGGGGCTTTTGCAGATGAGGGAAGAATGCAGTCTGCTTTTAGAAGCACTTCCAGTGTTGAAAGACCTACCAAAAGAGCGCCGGCAAGAATTGTGCACGGTGAGGAAACAAGTTGGTCCACCCGGAAACTGAATAGGCGTTTTGTGTTTTTTTCCGGTACTCATTGCTATGGAGGCCCCAATTAACATATAACTGCCACTACTAATATTCCCGTAAGAAACTGCAGCCACTTTATGCCAAAGATTATTGGTTTGGCTGCTATATAAACTGAGCCCGATGATAACACGCACACTTAAGGGCAGAGGGTAGGCCAATTGAGAGAAAGCAGCGCCGGATTCTCAACTGTTATGATTGACAGAAAGAGCTAGGTATGGCTAGTGCTGCGAGTTTATGACCTTCTCAGCGTATGATACTAGAAATATATTTGCCGAACCAAGCAGTTGTATTGCAGGGCGAAGCCCCTGATAAATTCTACGCTGTAGAGTCGGGAACACTCTCCATCGAGATCTACTTAGGATGCGGTAAGCTACTACACTCATTCGTATTCATGTAAACAAATGTAAAAGTAGCTGTCGTACATGTAGGCAGTGAACGTATGGTATACTCTAGCCAACTATAAGTTGCAAACCGGTGTAGATTTGTCCCAGGAAAGATGCAGAAGATCGGGGAGCTGACGTCGGGGTCCTTTTTTGGAGAAATGTCCATAATAAAGCGTGAACCAAGGGCAGCTTCGGTCATCGCCCTTACGCCGGTCTACGTAAGAGAAGCGTTTCAGCTTAAAATGCAAAAGTACCATTTACAGGGGGCTCGCTGTGAGCTTGTTGCTGTTCTTCCTTGTAATAATCCCAGTGGAGCTGGGTTATTATGGGATACACAAAGTTTGCGTGGGCCTCTCATCTGTTGCATGTAAATGTTCTGTATGTTCCCGCTGCACATGCAAAATGCAGGTTTATGCACTGAAAGCTAAAGACTTCGAAGACTTGTTAGGTGATCTACATGACGCCTTCCTGGAGCATGCCAAATTAATGTATAGCCAGAAAACTGTCAAATCCATGACGGGGGAGGACAAGCACACTCAGCTGGTGAGTTTCATGGAGAATGAATATATGAAAGGTTGGCAACCGAACAAGATTGTTTAGATGCAAGCAGTGATTGTTCTGAGCCCCAAAACTGTTTGTCCGCTTACAGCGGCTTACGACTAAAATTCAATTGTTTCGTGCAGAGTGAAGAAGAACTTCCCCAAGTGGTGCACCTTCTTTCCGGTGTCCACGTCATTAAGCTGCTAAGTCTCGAGCAGCTGCATGAGCTAGCACGTGCTTTCCAGGTAGGCGAGTCCCGCGCTCATTGCAATTCGCATAACATATTTCATGGTTGATGACCGGTGAAGCATATGAACGTGGAATGCGCACGAACTAATCGGCAAATCATCTCGTTTGGAGGATGCACATTTTAAAGCTATTTGCTAGGCATCGAGCGTCTTTCGTACACAAACGTTGCCTGGATGAACTAGTGTTGAGGGCCAAGCTTCCTGCCCTGGGACTCGCAGGTTGTGGAGATACGAGAGCGTGAAGTGATTATGCACGAGGGGGACCCAGCAGACAAGTTCTGCATTGTACTTGAGGGAATGGTTTCTATCCAGAAGTCCCCCGGACCTGGGAAACCACGAAAAGAAGTCGCTGTAGTGAAGGCAGGAGAATATCTTGGGGAAATCGGGTTTCTCAACAACCAACCTAGAACAGCAAGCTGTGTCGCAAAAACAAAGGTCAAGGTGAGCGCATAACTTGTCAGGTACACTCGCCCGAGAATTTTAAAAGGGGAAGGGCAGGCCCAGAGATGTACAATGCCACTATTTTGCCTCCCTCTGCGCCCAATTTGTCATCAGCTGCTGTGTCTAGGCCGCACTGAGTTTGAAAAGTACTTGGGCCACTTGGCAGATGCCTTTTTACAACAAGCAGAAAGCTCGTACTCGACATCTGAAGCTGAAATGCCTGCATGGCTCCTGGATTCGAAGACGCAGGGATCCTCTCACCATATTCATGCACTTCCCGATTCAAGCGACGAAACACACGAGGAAAAAGAGAAATCCAGCCCACGGTCTTCAAAAACTGCCAAAAATGTTGAGGCTAAAAAGCACAAGGAGAGGCGGGAGAAGAAATTGGCGGAGGGTGTCTGTGAAGGTGAAATCGTGGCTGCTGCTGCTCTAGATAATGAAGAGGAGGAAAAGAAGAGGAAGAAGAAGAAATCGGGAAGTAAGGAAGCACCTAAAGAGAAGCATGGACAAGCAAACAGCAGGAGCTCTCGGGCCGTTGCGCCCATATCCCCAGGTGACCTGGGTCGTCTGCGGGAGTTGGTTGTCGGCACATTCAAGAACAAATACGGGTCACTGGCCCACGCATTTGCAGAAATGGATGTTAACAAAAGCGACATTGTGGATGCAGACGTAACTACAGCACCCATGTTCCCCTATTGTTCTCCAACTAGCGATCTGCACGTATCCTAACGTTGGTGTTTATTGCTTGCATAGGCAGCGTTGCCTGCATCTACTGTCGGTGGTTGGAGCTCGTTACAACTGTGCGGGTGCATACACAACTGCTGAAGGAGAGTCTATGGGTGCTGTGTGAGCAGGAGTTCTACGCCTTCACGAAAAAAAGCAATATTCGGGGATTCCAGAAACAGGAGCTTGACGCCCTCTTTGACGAATTGTGCCGTCCAATCAAGGGCCGACTTGTCGTGGGCAACTTGTACCGTAATGCTAGAGGGGTGGAGCCCACAGGTGCGGAAATCCACCTACGGGCGGTTGAGATTTATGGGTCTGCATTGGCTGCGTTCTTAAAAGTTGCAGGCCTTGAAGCCACCAGCCTTTGCACCAAGGAAAACTTCACGAGGTCAGCATGGAACTTCCTAGCTATCCCGCGCTACCGTGTGTAGTAGGGACACGAGAGAGCAGTAGGAGCTAGGGATATTTCACTGCGGATGCTTATGAAGTCATATCAAGAATTGAAGACGGAATGCAGTTGCTTCCGTTACGCACTGGAACGCCGTGGAACTGGCAGACACCCATGAAGAATGAACGCCGGAAAAGTTATTTAGTTGTATTAGTGTAGGCCTAGGAAGAAGCGTGAGGATACTAACCCACAGACTTGCCTAATATTTGTATGTATGTGAATGCAGCCTGAGTTCCGAAGTTGGAGTTGACAGCGACAAGGCTGAACGGATCTGGGATGAATATGCCAAGGGGTGGGTTAAAATTTCTGCGGTTCGTTTGGGCCCTGCGGAGGCGGTCACTTGCTATGGGAACTATTACTGTCAGCTGCTGCCCTGTAATAACACTCCTTTAATTGTTCCAAACCCCAATAGACCAAGGCGCACTGCTTAAAATAGGGCTGAACTCATATTGCCTCATATTGCAGCTGAGCTCCGTGTTCGGGTGTTTACATCAACATCAGGGTCAGATCTGGGGATGATCGCATTACATTATCGACGCTAATCGGCCTAATGTCAGGTAAGAGATGTATGTGGGCTCTGTTGACTTTCGTATCTTGGTTGGAGGGTCAATTTTGTTGCGAATGTAAAGCCATATCCGTCTGCGTAGCTGCCTGTATAAATCTATTGAAAGTCTCTTCTGGGGTGCCACGGATTGGTGCTGTCTTCTGGATGCAACGAGGAAGAACATGGGTATTTTGGAGGCAGTCAAAACAGCAGACCTTTTATTCTCGAAGTTGCTTCTCGACCGAAGCCGAGATCCAGGTCAATTACACAATGGGAATTTCGCCGCATCCCAACTATATATTGGAGTACAGGGGGGAGGCGGTTGAGCAAGTGAATTACGTATTGACCCAGTCCAAAGCTTACTTGGGAAATCAAGCATCATTAGCCTTGTTATTTCTAGATGGGTAAAGAAAATTGCTGGAGATTGGAAGGCAGTTCGCGCCCATTTGAACGGCTCGCAGGACTTGGGGATGAATAACCCTGCATGCAGCAACATCGTCTGCAATACAAGCTTCTTAATCTCAGTAAACACTGGAAATTGAATACTTGTAAAGATTTAGCCAGAAGCAACGGACAAAGAGTGGTGGAAGGTCACCCATCTTCTGCGGACGGTTGTTGCCGGTTAGCTCGGCGACAGCCGGGAGGGGGGTCGGACTCAAGGCTTCTACGCTGGCGGTGGTGTTTTTATTTTCTTGATTTTGTGGGGGATTCATGGTATATTTGAGTAATATGCTAGCCTCAAACTCGTGTCACACCTTCCGGTCGCAAGATTTGTGGCCAGGACCGGACCGGCCCAGCGGCGGAGGCCGTAGACGTAGAGAGTCAGTGTTGATTATTCCGGGCTGCAATCCTATGGAGACTCCAATGGCTATTTAATGAGAACTACCCCTTGATGCTATTTCAGGTGGTATTCGTTTGGGTTCCTGCTGACTAGACATATAGTGATGCACTGACTAAATGCTGCAAGCGTGGAACAGACTTTTGGGGAGTCATGAGGAATAAAGGGAATGCTGCTGAAAACTGGGTGCAGCCGTCGTCGGCACAAGGACGCCAATGCTCTGAATTACCCTTATTCCATGCTTTCAAGTATCCCGGGTTTCCCTGTGCCTAAGGATTATTTGGGTCTCCCACCAGCCCTTTGCCGCAATGCCATGTTCGCCGTCAGTCATTTTTATTTGCAAGCGGCTGCATAGAAGGAGAGTCCGTCGAATAAAAGAGGAGCTGAAGGTACCGAAGACCGGAGGACGCGGATACTCTTTTGAAATGTGTGTTCCCCTCTGCAGGTCTTACGTGCACCGCCGCCCCTTCACTTCCTTCAAAGTGAAGAGAGGCTGCCGTGTAGATTGAGAGATGACACTAGATTTTGCGGAAGACATTGTCTTTCCCTCATAACTGTAGCAAGATTGGAAACGACAAGAGATGACAATCCGTCATCGACGATGGGAAAACGCGATTGCGAGAAGCATTCCAGACGCCGCGAGCAGGCTCCGGAAGGTGCAACGAGAATCGCAGGCGATACGGGATCAATGACTCCTGAAATGGTGTCGTGTGGGACTCCAGGGAGGGAAATGCCATGCACACGGGAGCCTATAGATGCTGCTCTGGCTGCCAATTCTGTCAGCGTCGACCATACCACTACGGACCAAGAGCAGCCAAGCTGCAAACTACATTCGCAAATCTTATCTACAGTGGATGTAAATGACAAAAATGCTTCTAGTGTATCCAAAAGCACTGTTATAGAAACACCAGCGGCAAATGCCTTTGAGGGTAAAGAGAAATCAGGAAAGCCATGCGATTCATCGCATTCAGAAGCGAGAAACGATTCTGAAGAACAGTGGATCTTAGGGTCCATATCCGCATCGATATTTGAGTCTTCAGAGCCCCTAGGATTGATCACCGCCATATCAGCCCTCGGTTCTTGGGTTTCTGCGGCTTTTGCTACTCATGAAAAAGACTTGGAAGGTGAATTAGTCAAAACAGACAAAAGGCAAGAAGAAGAGGAAGAGGCGAACAGGGCTAAAGCAAAAGGAAAAGAGAAGAACGAAACAGAAAATGACAGCGAACCTTCAGGGAACCTTCAAGGTGGTAAATTTGGAGCAAGTGCACCCGAGAACCTTCCATGTGCAAAAGTGGAGAGCAGGCAGTCTGATGCTCAACCAAAACAGGCACGGGTTGTGCTATCTTCGGAGTTCCAGCAGGGTTCATTGGACCAACTAGCAGCTCTGCCTTCTCCACAGGCATCCCCGAATGTGTCACACTTGCCTCATGGCGATGACTCTCACTTAGACCTGCAGGTATTTTTGCACTTGTGTGGGCAGCCACACCCAATTCGTTGGTCCCCTGGAGACGCAATTCCAAAGCAGAGTACGGGGTTAAGGTTGATGGATGCTGCTGAAAACGGCGTCTTGCAGGCGCCTGATTCCAATCATCTGCAGGTACCGGCTCCCGAGCTTTTGACAGAGACTGAGAGCCACTTGCAATCGCCCACTGAGCGACTGTCGTTGCGGCAGTTTGCTGAAAACATTGAAATGTGGTTTCTTGACATCGGATCAAAAGGCCTAATTGCCCAAAAGGAAGATTCTGCCTCGTCTAGCGATTCTTTCGAGGAAACGACAGGGGCACCTCTTACTGGTATTGAGGGAGATTTCACTTTTCCAGCAGGGGGGGACGGCAACCATCAGACATGTCCTGATGATGGTCTCTGTTGGCTGAACTCCACTTTGCCTATGTTTCAACGGGAACTTGGCTGCCGCAACCCTTTAGAAGGCTTTTCACGTGCTTCAAGAGTTCCAGTTGATGCGGTAGAGGGGGACGATACGGGGTTGCAATCTGCGATGCCTCGACACGGAGCTGAAGACACCCCAACTGCCTTGCAGGGGACCCATTGTCGCACATTGCTGCAGCAGGACACCCAGAACGGTTCATCCCATCAACTCACGATAGGGAGAGGGGAAGACAGCACAATAGATGAATTACATCCACAGGGTGCACATGGGTCCCATCACTATGCTAGCAAGGATGAAAATTCGGGAACAGGAGCAGCTGACTCGGTGTTGCTTCTGGATGACTTGTACATACGATTAGACCGTTCAGCTTTGCGGGATTTTGTAGAAGGCACAGAAACGCTGCGTGCGAATCCTTCTGCAAAGGCAACTTTTGTACAAGAGCAGCAATTGGCTTGTGGAGCCACAGAAAATGCGGATAGGACGATGCTTGGTGATGTTAGCAGCTGTGAGGCTTTCGCCTCCACAGTTGATGGTACTGGTGGATTCGCTATGCCGTCATCTCCACGTCTACACTCTGGACCATGAGAGCCAGAAACCTTTTGAGTTTGTGTGGCGTAGTGCAATGTTACCCACCTTGCTTTTGTGGCAAGGAGTGACAATATATGAAGGTTATTGCCTTGCCACCTTTGAGGCACCAACGAAATATCGACGTTCTTGCATGCTGGCACTTATTTATGCAGTGTATGACCAACGAGAAACATATTGTGCTACGTTTGATCTGCAGGTGAACTGTCGACAGAGGAAGCGGCGACGAAAGAGGCCTCGTTGCGTTCGTGGGGCAACCGCATTTGGGCATTCTTTGGAGGGGAAACTGGAGCCGAAAGAACTCAGGCAGACGGGGATGCAAAGATGGATGTCGTAGAGCAAACACTTCCCTTTGAAGATCCCGCAGTTGTCCAGAGAGATGATCACCGCGCATTCTCCAGTGAAACGTCTCTCCTCCTTGAGTCTATTAAGCAGGAACATACACTGCAACTTCTAAGCCCACAGCAACAAAGATACGTTGCATCCCTCATGCGGCGAGACATTTTCCCAGCATCGACATGTATAGTGGAGGAAGGAGCAGAACCGGTTCTCATGTGGTGTAGCGCAGGCGAATTTGAAGTTTCCCAAGCTGTCAGTCGCCATACGAAAAAACGCAGTTTGGCATATCCGACTCTCTGCTGGATAGGATGGCCGTTACAAAGCTTTAGAGCCTAAATGCACACTCGACAAGCAGCTTTAAACGTACACTGCAGTACTGCAGCATACGATCAGACCGCTGGTAGACGGAAGCTTTTGGGCGTTGGGGTCCGCGTTGCTCTTTTGCAACTGCTTCGGGAATCTCTGTGTTACTTTATTTCTGCGGTATTTGATCTGCTGCAGGGCTTCTTTGGTGTTTCAGTTTTGCGGTCGCTGACTCCAGGAGAATTTTTCGGGCTGGAGGAGCTAGTTTCGGGCGAAAAGCTCAAGTGTACATTGACCTCTCGACAAAGTGCCAGCGAATGTGCATTATGGGTATTAGACAGGGATATATTTAACGATTCTGTTAAGGATATGCTGGCAAAGCGTAAGGCATTCGTTCCTGTGGCCCAGGATTTCCTCCACATGGTTTGTCTTGTTAGGGACCTGCCGGAAGAGGAAATATACGCCGTTGCTAGAGCGTGCAAGGTGGAGAGGTTCGCAGAGGGCCAAACTGTCTTCAAGATGGGTTTTCACGGCGATATGTTTTGTTTTATATATAAGGGTGAAGCTATCACGCAGAAACCTCAAGATGGTGGGGGGTTTCTTGAGCTGGCGAGACAGGGGAAAGGAGAATATTTTGGAGAAATGGCACTGATAAAGAGCACTAGACGCACGGCTTCCGTCGTTGCAGGAACGGAATTAGTGTTGTTCTGTCTAGATAAGGAGTCATTCGAAACCCTTCTCTCTCCTCTTAAGGAAAAAATGGTAAGCGTTGTAATATAGGCAACTGGTTTGACCCCTCGCGCTGGCTAGATGTGGTATATCAGCGCGCAGGAGGCACCGGCTATCATCGCACTGTGTACTTTTCGAGTTAGTAGATTCTTCGGGCTTGTGGACCAGGCTGTTCGACTGGGGGAAATACATCCAGCCGTTGATGCGTTGCGGCACACTCCATGCAATTCTTCCCCGTGTAGAATCTATGGTGAGCATCCTATTCGTTTGGTTCAGGCAGCAAAAGCGGCCTCTACTTATAAACGGCAGGACGAAGCACCTCTGACTGCAAGTGAGATGAAATCGGCAGATGGGAGCGCTTTGGCTCCTGTGCTTGCTACTCGCGACGCGGGCGAAGTTTGTGCGAAAAAACGCACTCGCAAAAATTCGCTTGCTCTACTTAATTATTCGAAGATCAGGGATCAGGAGAAGCAGTCGGAAAATGGGGAAAGCGACACACCTGAAGATAGAAGTACAGCTCGCTGGCGACTGGCCCGGGAGCCCGAGTCTATACACGAACCCCCTCCCCTTTGCACACAAGGGGGTCGAAGCTGCCTTAAAGAGAACAATCCGCAGGGTGTACATCGAAAACCCAAATCCCCTGTTAGGTTTGACGAGGGTTCTCTTCTGCCTTCCGAGTCATCATCTGATGAAGGCTGAGAGCAACTGTGTATTTTGGCAGTAATGCTTCCTCGGAGCTTTCCTGATGTTTAACCAATCGTGATAGAGTCTGGGACCAGTTTAGGTGACATTAACTAGCCCGGTGAGCATATTTGGAACCTTACGTCCATGTCACCCTATCGTCTACTTTTGTTAGTAGAGCACTAAAGACACTAACTTACTAATATGCATGTTTACCAATTTGACAGCCTGATAGACCCAAAGGGCAATAAACAGATCATTGATGCGGATCGCTAACCGTTTAGTCTCGACAGACAAAGGGGAGCCCAGACAAATGCGAACCACCTGGTAAATGTGAAAAATTCAAAGAAACGGACTAACGGATGAGAACACACATATATGCAGAATCTCCATAACAGCATAGGAGGGTCTGTTTTGGGTAAGACCCCTGCATTGGGAGCAGGATGCATAGGGAAGGGCTAGCGAAAAGCTCTTGATGTGCACGACAACCAGCATAGTTAGCACTGGGCATTCTGTAATATATATATTTATCAAGAAGGCCGCTTGGGGCCTCCTGATCGCAAACGTGTGTAAAAGCACCTCTTATAGCTACAAATACTATACCTAATTTGCAATAGTACTGGTATTCAAGAAAGGAGATGTACCTGGAAAGAATTCACCTACAAGGAAAGGAAGGGAGTAGGGCTGCGCGGCAGCTACATTTGGATGGCTTGTGGCCTCATGCAGAGGAAACCGTCCAAGTTAACGCTGAATGGACTGCTATTTATGCGATAGGATTGGTGAAAATGCAGGCAGACGCTCTGAAACAGCGTAAAGGTGCACTGCCGTGCTCTTCCATTCCTGTCAGAGGGCAATAGTCAAACAAATACAGTGACAGTCGAATTTTCCTCCGATGTAATAGTTCTATCGCGCGTCTAGAGGCATTTTAACTTTCATTTGACGCGCACAATGCTAGTTGCAAAGCGCCTCGTAACACCCTTGCTCAACAAAACTAATAGGAGCACGGGATGTCCTCACAGCGTATACTGTAGTCGCCAGAGGCCGCGGGGATGCGGAGAAGGCGCCACGCAGACTACTGGTGGATGTGTCCACAGCTTTCAGCTTTCGTCTGTTATGCTGAGAAAGATATATTGGGATTGATCAAAATAATGGCGTGCTCTCACTACAGGGAGGATGTCAGTCTTATTTGAGGAGGGAACAAGGAACGGGTTTTATCTATGTGGTGGACAGTGGAGAAAGGTAACAAGGGTGCCAGCGGCTGCGAACACAACCTATAGTACGAAGATGAGCAAAATGACGCCAACGTAGCACGGTTGTGACAGGAAATGTCTTCCTAGCCCGTAGCTAGTTCTCCTCCGCGATTTTCCCAGCCTTAGCAGCGCCTTCCATTCAGGTTAATAGGAGTAAGTTGCATGACCCAATAAGGGCCGAATTTGAGTTGAGGGGAGCTGAGGCCACTTGTCGTCGGCTAGCCACAAATAGTAGCAGTTTTCCCCGCGTTGCTGTAACTGCGTGGAGTAGCTCAACATGGAAATGGGGGGCCTCAACACCACAATATCGGAGTATGCGAAGGCTCACAAAGAATTAATTGGAAACATCCTACATTCTGTAATGTTGTTTTGCAGACGCTGAAACGGCTATCTATGTGGAGGGCGCGAACTCAACCGTACTAACGGGACATCTGTAGCACTCTGGTAGCGAAAGTGGCATGCAATACTGGTCCATGGATTAAATGATACCGCACACGAAATGCCAACCTTCGATGCATTTCATACGAATGGCTTAGCTGGATGGCCTTCAAGAAACAGTATATCAGAGGATTTGTGATCACACCCGGGAGGTGAAGCAGACGAGATCCACCGACCAACCAGTTTCGAATTTCTACTTCTGCTGCGCATGAAGTCTTGTAAAGACAGAGATCAAAGGTATTGAGTGGTCAGACACACGTGTATGATGCGTTTCCAACCAAGAGATATTACCGACTGCAGAGATCGCTGATCGGCTGAACCCCCACAAACACCACACCATCGTGGGCCGCCGACTCCATCAGTTCTGCATGCATCGTGTCCTCAATTCTGACCGTCCAATGCTGTTTAATTATTTGGTCGTATTTGTCTTAAGTGTCTTTGAGCGTAAGAGACGCACCCAAGCTGGCTCATTGGCCTCATGGGCCGGGCATTTGCGCACTAGTTGGGAGTGCCATGCCCATCCAGGCTATCCATGACAACCGTTATGCCCAAAGGAACGATGGATCTTGATTATTTCGATCTGACGAAGATTAAACAAGTGATTATCATGGCTTAGTTGGTCCATATGCAAAGCTTTCTGGACTCATATCTCCCAGGTGTCACCCGCCAGTCCCATTGGCGCGGTAATGGGTGCTGCCGACTACTTTACTCGAAATGTCTGCTCTCCGGACACCTCGCCTACGGCTTGGTGATGCATTGCCAAGGGTGAATTACCTCTTCTGAGAGCCCTACATGTTTGGGGTTTGCCGGTTCAACCGGCTTATAGCACCCGCGGGATGTGCCTTTGCTTGTAGGAACATTATTCAGGAAACTGCGTCTGCCAAAACACACGGTTTCGCGTGGTTTGCGGTCCAAACAATTTCTAAATAATGAGGTCACTGAGGATGTCACCCCTAATGCGGCGGGCCTCCCCCAGTGGGTGCGGCAGCATCACTCGTTCATTGGATGACTTCGCTAAGGGAATGACAAGGCCAAACAGCACTTCTTCAATGGAAGATGCGAGAACATGTGGGGATGTAGGCGACTTTGTGCCAGTAGATTTGAAAAATGATTTTCTCCAAAGAAGACGGTCTCATCCAGGGAGGAGCCACCCCATGAATTCTGAATCGCCTCTATCTACTGCTTCCACTCCTACTCGCAGCACAACTAGGTCAACTGGAGAGACCAATGCAGACAGCACAACTTCAGATGCAGAGAGAGTTCACGAGAAACTTCAGCAGATGTGGGATGACGGGGAGCTGTCTCCTCGGGCGCCTCTTGATCGGTCCTTGGGCTATATCTCTTCTCCGAACAACTCGGGAAAGGGAGCTGCCAGTGCTTCAATAGCATCTGAGGGTACATCAGGAGGAGCACAATCATGCAGGCAAATTTCGCAACAAGGAATTGTGGCACCGTTATTCATAAATGATGTGAGAGCGCTTCGACAGATGGCACCCTTCAGCTCAACAGAGGAACAAGTTCTCACACGCTCACAACGAAGAAGAAGCAGTGCGAATCTTTTGCAACAACTTGTAGCAGCCCAGCCAGGTGGATCGGTGCACCTGGGGCACGCTGAAGTTGCCGTTCAACAAGAACAAGGTATTGTCAGAAAGGAGCAACGGCAACAGCACGAGACAGATTCAAGTGGCCAATTACAGGATGCGCAATGCGATCTCTCCACAAGCCAGCAGCATCAATATGCATCTCAGATGGTAGTAGAAGCTCTGGATCTGTCCGTTGGTCAGGCATGCCGGTCCAATTCTCTGGGCTCTGGTGGTGCCGTCTCACGGTGCACTGTAGCCCGCAAACGCCGCGCGAGTAGTCCTGTAGTCTCCACCGATTCATTTTCTGCACATGAATACCATAAGAAAAGCGATGGCGGCTTGCCCCCTGATGGAGCGCCTTTATACGGTTGCCGCAAACGCCTTTCTGCTCCTCGTACATCCATGCAGACCCTTGCCACAGCGGATGCAACTCCTGCCTCGTCCAAGACGTCACCTAGACGCAGTTCAGCTACCACGGCTGTGCCATATACTGGGGGAAATGGTGATAGTGGAGTGTTTGATATAGCCATCAACTGCACAAACAATAACAGCAGCAGCAGCAGCAGCACGTTAGAGTCTCCCTTCCAGAAGCATCCTCCGCCTTCACCTTCGGATTTCCCAGTTTCATCTCCTATTGGCACAAGTTCCTACACCCCCAGGCGGGAGGCTTCAGCAGAACCGAAACAGCAGACCCACCAAATGCAGAGTCACGAGACTTCTGCTACTAGCGATCTGCCAGCTGTATGTGGACCTGCTGGGAAGGACAAGAATCCATTGAGTAGCCCACTGCGGACGTCTCCTCGTCGTACGCATGGTGAAGGGGGACCATCCTTTCCTCCATTTCAAACGCCAAGGGGCCCTTGTAACGTGCAGGAGCCTCAGGATGACACAATGGGAACTTGTATTCGCCAAAGAGCCTCACAGCGTTGCCCGTCACCCGTTCCGCTTGTTCCAACGGGAACCCCCAACAAGCGAGCCGTGGCGGACCAGCGCGGGGGTGGGCCGCCGTCTGGAGATGCCTGCGAGCAAAGCATTTCCCCAGCTTCAGAAGATGGCCATGAAAATGTCCGTGCCATTACATTGAGGGCGCCATCTACTAAGAAAGTGACTGTCCTTCCTCGGCGCGCTTCAGTCGTGCCAGCGTCCCGATTAAAGGCAGCTCCTCGCAGCTCAAACACCTCCGTTGTACCAGTGATGAGCAACAGAGAAGCCGAAACAGCAAACGGAGTGGCAGGGGCATCTGGAATAAACAAGCCTGCTTCTTCACCTAGAAAGACTGAGATTCCTGTATCCACCTGGCACAGGCCGGTTCGCTCTGGCGCTGGTCCTACCCGTGTTGGTGTAACTGAGAGGCAGCGAAAGAGCCAGCTGATATCTGCAGCATCTCTAAAGTACACATCTGACCGATTTGAAAATGCTCCTTCTGAGTCGCATCCCAAGAACCGTTACCCAAACACAAGAGATCCAGGCGACTCCCTCGCAGCAACTGCGCTACCGCGAAGACGTTCTACGACAAGGCGCAGCATTGGCCTGGCGTCATCAGCAGGCCCAAGTTCGTCCTGGGTTCCAACTTCGCTAGCAGACCGCCGTTCTGCTTCCGCCTCACCTGTGGCTTCTCAGGAAGTCACCGGCCAAGCTCCTGCGCAGATCACAGCCAGGAGCCCCGTGCAATTTGCAAAAGCTGCAACAACACAAGGCCGCATGCCAATGGCAAGGCTTGGGAACCAACCTTCTGGGGCTTCTGGAGCAGGAGCTCACAGTCTAGGGTCTTCCCGGAGCCAAGTGGCTGGCGTTTGTCTTGGGGCCAGCATAGGAGAGCCCAGCTCAACAAAAGCTTCGGCCCAAGGGAAAGCCGTAACACTAGCCGCTGTTCGAAAGGGCTTACCTCGCGCAACCCCATTACGCCCCTCTGTGGCTAAGCCTCGAGCCAACAGCAGCAAAAGTTTGTTTCATAGTGCAACTGCACGCAGCAGTGCGAATATGCTCCCCATCACAAAGCCTAGAGTCCTTATTCCAGCGTCAGCACGGCACAAGACACAAGGTGGAGGTGCGGTCCGCGGGGTCCGGAATTCTCGCGGTAAATATCCAACTTGCAACTCATGTTCCCGGGGAGTCACCTCTGTAGCGCCCTCGCGGCACGGCCGCCCGGCGGTTAAGGGCCATTCGTCTATGCGGACGAGAGCGGGAGTTCATCTCGATGATTCAGCCGCAACAAAATCTCCTGGCGGCAACGCATCAGGTTTCAAAGTAGATGCAAAGGATTCCGGACATGCTGAGAAGGATGCGCGCATTGGAGAGTTCCGCAGTAATTGCCTGAGCCCGCCAGAGCTTTCGAGCGCGTCTGATGAAATTTCTTTACCCCAGGCTCAACCCCAACGCGCTTTAACGGAGGAAGAACACAGACGTTCCTGCACGAACAGCACCATCTGCTGCCCCACAGTTTCCAGTAGTGTGCACTCCACTGCGGGTATAGGTGTCTCTGCACCTGATGCTTGCCCAGCATTGGCACAGAGCTCGTGGGATACCGGGACGCCATATCATCCGAGCCGGAGGCGCAGCAGCTCTCCGCACAACCTAGCACTGCAAAAATGTACCAGCAATGAGGCAGGCGATGGCAGACGTCCATCCGGACCCTTGGCACCCTTGCGTCGAGCTTCAAGTGTCTGCAGCCTCGAAGATGGCGATGGAAAGCGCATTTCCGCTCAGCAACAAAAGAACGAGGCGCTACATCAGGTATGGGAAGGCCGCGATAGGGAGTATCAGGAAAAGCAACAAAAGCTGCTGTTAGAACAACAGCGCAAAGAGCGACTGCTTGCGTGGGAGCAACGCGAAGCTGAATTGCTGAAAAATCGAAAGGCTCTGTCCAAAGAAGAACCTTCCTTCTGGGGATTTGATCCATGTGAGTCGCACCAACACTTCTGTTGCTATCAGTGTTACAGTAATGACGTTGCTAGCACTGATTGCTGCCTCCCCACCAACGACTACATGCTTCACACTTTCCCCCAGCACCTGAGGGCAAATGGATTTGGACTGCACTAAATCAATGGACTAGCGTGCTTCCTTGTGCTCTAGCCTGCAAACAAATGGCTGTCAGTGCTGATAAAATTCTACGGGTTTGTAGCACAGTCCACGCCGTTTCGTGCATTGGTGTTCAGTCATGGTTGATGAAGAGGATGAGAAAGTCCTTACAACAGAAGAACTGCGGGTGGAGGTGTCGCGCTTCTTAAAGGGCGTAGGTCTCTAGTACAATCTTATAACCATGAAGCCCACATGCACCCTGGACTGATAGTGCTTACATAGTTGTTCGCAATCAATCAGCTTGCTGTAGGGACTTTTTTGGTGCTTGGAGCAGGACTTGCGCTTCCACTCTCGAGCTGACCTGCTTCGCGTCGTAAAGAAATTCAGCGAACAGACCCGAACCACCACAACAACCAGTAAGCCAAGAGATGCCCGGTAAAATTGGCCTAGTAGCACATCCGTCAATCCCCGTTGAGGCGCTAGCTGCCGCTTATTTTTTTGCGGTTTTCTTTTTGCGAAGCGAGCTCGAGGCTGAACTTCACTAAGGTGGACCAGCGCGTTGTTCCGATGGCGGCCCGTCAAGTCCACGGTGAGTATTGCAGATTTCGCATGCTGGAAGATGCAGTCTGATAAAATGCAGCTGCAGCCTGGCTTGGTCCTGCCCTTTGCTGTCACGGCAGCGGACAAGAGGAACCCCAACCACTGTTGCTTGAATTAATGAGAATTCCATAGTTTTCGACTGACTGTGCGGAGGTTCAACGTTATGGTCCTATTTGTGCGAAAGTGGTGTTGTTCCTTTTCTGTTTTTTGGAACGGCATCAGAGTGAATATTTGTTCTTATTTGCAGGCACTGTGCCACATGAAAGACGCCGAAAGTCAATCTTACGCAACAGCAGTGGCTCGCAGCAGCCTTCGGAGGGCCGCACGCGAAGCAGAGGAATCAGCTTTTCCCCTTTTAACAAGGTGCGTCATTGGCATTCCTGAGGCATCTTGTCTAATTAATCCTGTTCAGACAAGACATGCAGTATTGTGCCTGGTTTTGCTATGTGGAACCGTGCCCATCGCTGTTGAGCTCGGCTATTCGGTGCCTGTACAGTATCTCAAACGTGCGCAGAATTTATGTGTTTAGGTCCAGCTGTACATGCTTGATGAGCATGAACGAGCTAGCAAAGAAGCAGCCGCTCATTTGTCTCAACAGGGGGAACAGCGACAGCAGCTGAGGCAGAAGCTTGCTCACCAATTTCAATTGATGTTGCTGCGAGGCGACTCGGACTTGGAACTGTCTTTGATACGCCGTGAACTCGCGAGCCTGTGCGATCCTGACGAGGAGTGAGTTATTCCCCGATAGTTATTCACAACCTTTCCTATTTTGCGTGAAAATCCACAAGGGAAAAGGTTTGGGTTTCCAACTGAATCGACCCACAGCCCCAGCCAGCCCGCAGCCCAATCTGGTTGATCGTGCACATGGGCTCGTCGCGCATGGCAGGTTTTCGATCGCAGTCTTCTGTTTGTGATTTGACTGCTTTCTAGGGATAGTATAGCCTTCTTATCGCCTACTCTGGCTCCGGGTCGCGATGGGGAACCAGAGAGCAAAGGGTCTTTTAATCTGTCCCAGCAGGGTGGTGCAGAGGTAAAGCTAAATGATGGTAGGGAGCCGACTGAGTCAGTAGATGGGAATGGAATTGGAAGGCTCCCCTTCACTGTTTCGCCATCGTGGAGACAAAGACCGCACAATGTTTGGCAAGACACCCCAGGGGCCTCGCAGACAGAACCCTGTGCTGAATGGAGCCCTCCTCTAAGCCCTATAGAGCACAGCCGTTTGAATAATGTTGGAGCGAAGGAGGGGAATGGGTGTTGGCGAACACCCATAGCCGGTGCAGGCAGCGAAGTTGAGGGCAAGCGTGAGCTCGGCACCTCGGAAAACGATGAAAATGCAAATTACAATGCAGTGAAGAGCTCATCACATCTCCATTCTGGTAAGGGAATAGTAAACTCGCAAGAGCCAGTGAAGCAACTGTCAATCGAGGGGCCCTCTAAACTCTTTGCTTCAGAAGCGACCAGGCGACCGTCCGTGCTGAGGCGGCGCCTTTCCGTGGTGCCCAACGCGCAGCCCACCTGATTTCCCACCTGAGATTTTTAGATGCATTCATGTCTCCTGTAGTTGCTATTGAAATGATAACTGGAAAATCCACAAATGTGGCAGCCCCAATATTGTTTCCAGGTTCATCTCTAGGGCAGCTGTGGAATTAATTCGAATGTTGCCCAACGCTAACTAAGAATATCTCATCTCTGCTGTCCACGGGTTCGTGTCATATGGCAATATGGATTTGTTCTGCCGCTCGCAGAAGCAAGTGGTACTGGTTTTCTGACATGAGCACATGCTCCTCTACAATCAGTGCCTTAAAGGATAACCGTCCTTGCACAACAGCGATGTTACATGTGGTATCGACACTGCATTCGGAACTACATCTGCATGCTCATCCGTAAATATACGGGCACGTTGAAACATCTGCCTAATTAAGGAACGGAAAGAAGATCTCCTCCTCGCATGGATTGGATGACTATCAGCTTCAAGTGCAGTCGATGTTCTCCACAGTCCTTTCCAGATTCATAATTCATTGACGTATCATTTCAAGAGTGATCCGCTGTGTAGGTTACAGACACAAGTAGTCTTGGTGTCTCGTGAAACCTCTTGTGCCTGGAGAACGTGTGCGACGGCAGCGGTGCAGCTGAAGGTAGTGACGTCCTCTGTCGGATGACAAGCGATTAATTGCCCCCTTCATACAATGGAAGTTTCCTGCAAGGCTTCCTCTATTCATAACTCGGACAGGATGTGCCGGTTCCAGTGAGTACTACAACGTGGCCTGTTTGTAATGGCACTCATCAACACGTGTGAGAGTGCTGCACCTAAGCTCCGACAGCACGTGCTAATGCAAGTCCAGCATAGCCGCAATAGTGCACTTTCAAAGGGCGCTTATGTGTTGGCAACTTCGATCCACTGCATCATAGCTGTTTTCGTCACCACAGGTGCACGCAGACAGCGAAGACGCAAAGGGCTGTAGCAGGCAAAACCATGTGCTGAGAAAGCTTCAGCTATGAACTGCGGAAATACAGAAGGGTTTTTTGTCAAATTTTTTCCTCGACAGCCTTGCTACTTTTCCATCTATCTCTGACTCAATAGCGCCTTTGGCAAACAGGTATCTGTTGTTTTTCTTTGGACCTGTATCCTCCAGTAGGCAATTGCTGACCGTTCCAGGCGGCACAGTTGGGATAATACCTTCAACTCACAACTCACTAGCAGTGTTATTATTGAATGACTGTTCGTGCTGGATTGAGACCGCTGAGCAACGCCTCTAAGAAGCCGACAAGAGGTGGACTTGTAGTGGGGAGTTAAACATTCATAAAAAAACTCACAAGTAAAAGAGAAAGGATAACGGTGAATATCAGGCCATCACCATCTGTTAATGTTCTAGGCACATCCCTGGCGCGCTGGCTGTAGGGGCCATCTGGTACATCACCTGGGGCACCAGCCATCTAGAACGGACTACAAAAAAATTCGTTTTTCCGAACAACCATTAGCAGCGCTAGGTATCCTTCACATTTGCAGAATAAGTCTGCTGAAGAAGCAAGAGGCTTGACACCACTGGATCGCCCAAGCGGCTCTCGGCAGGTGCAAGTGTGAAAGCGCCGTTACTCTTTTGAGGACGAAGGTGAGTCAACTGCATGCATTCTCTGGCGTCGAAAACTTCTGATTATAAGGCGCTCTGTCTGCAGGCCGAGGCTCAAAGCAGAACCTAAAGTGCAATATCTCCACCTTGTGAAACAACGGCAGCAAAAGGTTGGCCACAAACGACCTGCCCGCGCAAAAGTTCAAACTGATGTTCTAGTGATGAGAAGTTGCGTTCTAGACTTTTGGGGGGACGGTTGGGCTAGCCGCATTGGACCGCATCTGCAACTCTGGGGATGAAATGCATCAACAGTTGCAGTTTCACTCCAACTGTACGCGTATGCTTGTAAGTGAACTGCTTGAAAGGGTACTTGAAACCATTTCAGACGGTCTTTGGAACGGCTGATGGCAGATGCCACCTTCAATCGCAGGACGCTTTTGAAACTAAATTTGACTTACTCATGGCTTTCATTGGCATTCCTGACTCATGAGATAAGCATTAGTGCATTTCGGACCGGCAATTAAGAGCATCATTTGGAATCGCTCATGAAATGCAAGAGCGTCGAGCTGAGCAATGGAAAAAATGCGATTACCCGTGTTTGTACGTACATTGTTAAAATGGCTACTTGCCGTATCTTTGAGAATATGGCTAGATCAGGCCATTTGGCGGAGACGAGCTTCATTCGGAAGCTCGTCGCTAGATATATCTGCTTCTTAAGGCCCCCAGCCGCTTTTCTCAGCCTCGCCTCAACACTGGGGCAGCCTTGGAACAGACTCCGAAAATGCAAAGGGGCCCAAGTTCGCCTAGGCTGCGCATCCGCCTGTTTAGCGGGACTTTTTCTGGTTTGTCTTCAGCATGGCTTTGTTTTGGCCTTTCAGATTCACAGCACGATTTCAAAAGAGATGCATAGATCGGTGGTTTAAGGTGAGGGTGGTGGGCACGGATTTTGCTGCTTAAACATGTTTACCAGTCCTGTTTCTCCCTTCATCCACAATCTAGTGTTTTTCCGCTCAACGTCTGTAAAACCGTACCAAATCCTACACACATCAGAGAGCTGTAAGCGCGGAGGGGCTAAACAGCCAACAGGTTTCCAATGAGAAACAACTCAAAACAGCATTCAGGATAGCTCAGTTCAACTATGCATTTCTCCTGAAGTAAGACATGTGAGATAAGCTTGCAAAAATTGCCTCTCACCTTAAGGGGTTGCCTACTAGGGTCTCCAGGAGATTGGGGGCTCTGAGAGTGGGCTGCGGCTAAGGAGGAAGCGATACTATTTGCTTAGTAGTCCGTTTTCTAAAGGTAATTATTTTTCCACGTCATCCGTTATCAGTGGCAACACCTTTTGTAAGACAGGTCACATACCTGCGCGTCAGACCACCCCATTGCATGCGTTGTACAGTCTGTCATACCCTTTGCAAATCCTAGAATCCAGTCATGCTTATCTGTTCACTCGTTCCATTATGCATAGCATACTATATTTCTCGGTTCCTCTTCTCCCTGTACTGTGAGGACTTCTTAGTTCGCCGCTGCTCGACCCGCTGGCAGATCTGGTGCTGCATTCTTTCCGTGCCCTGCCTTTGCTCTTTCTTTGAATAATTGACTCGAAATTCCTAAACAGAACAACTTCTCTTGTGTCTACCAGTGAGGAGACATTTAAGGGGGCAACCAGCCCCACGCACAGCAGTCGACTCGCTGGGCTCACCGCTGTCAGTGGGCATCAAAAGGCGTACCCCACATTACAAACACAGAACTTGGTGGTGTATTTGAAAATACATTGTCACCTGTGAACAATTTGAAGCTTTGAAAACGTCTTAGGGGAAGGTGATGCCGAGGGCGGGGGGGGGGGAGGGTTGGTCCACCCGAACCTCTTGTTGTTCACTCGACTGGAGATCTATTTCCTCCCTCTAACCGTGGCCGCGGTGCCAGCACTTGGCAGATGTATTTGGCTTGTTCCTCAGGCGAGGTAAGGCAGGAGAAAAACCAGCTTCCTTCAGGGAAATGTCCTCAAGCAGGCATGGCTCTACCGAAGAAGTGGTGATGCTTCATTCGTCCGGAGGCGTTCGGAACACGTGTGTCCTTACGCAGCATCCAGCGGCAGTAGCTAATGAGCACGATTCTGCAGAACCATTGGACGACAGCGCTGTTCACAGCAGTCCCATTATCAGGGAGACGGGAGCAGGAGACATCATGTGTAAGGGTCTTTTCTGCCGGTTGATCGTCGTCATTGGTTTGTGTATGATGCTGTGTGCTGTTGGGACTTTACTCTTCATTAGTGGTTTTTTTCTATCGAGAGACGACCTCCCATTCATTAGTGACGGACGAGTAATTCCGTTCCCTCCGTTGTTTCCTCACTTAGACCCTGCGCGACTTCTGCTCAATAAAGAGGAGGGAGTGTACTATGTGGAGAACAATAGTCCGAGAGCCATGCTCGGCACCAGCGAGCATGTAAATGCCGACGGTGCCCCTAGGCCTCTCTATGTGGAACATTTCACTCATCCACCAATTCCAGCTTCCTCTGATACCGACCCGTGCCAGACTACCCAGTGCCGATCCTCTTGGGTCTCAGTGACACCTTACGACCGCGTTGTTGTTTTCCTAATAGATGCAATGCGCTTTGACTTCCTGCTTTGGGACCCCAAGGCCTCGAATGCTTGTGAAGATGACTCAACCAAAGAGTGTACCAGTGCTCCGCCTGAGCTCCGGCCTTTCTATCGAAATCGCCTGCCTTTAGCACATGACCTCCTCCGCCGGTCCGATGCAGACTTGAAGCGATTCCTCCTCAGCTTGATAGAGAGCAAAGGATCACCAAGGGTAGAAGAAGGAAACAGAGCAGTTGCAGTGCAAAATGATCCGAGTCCACGTGAAGCCCCGGTGTCACCAGGTGTCACAGACCCACACCAGAGGTCTGGTTCGTCGCCCTCCGTCTACAACTGGGGAGGAAACCGTTTTACTCGGTTATATGTCTTCGAAGCAGACCCACCTACCGCCACTACCCAGCGTCTGACTGGCCTTGCCACAGGAAGCATGCCGAGCTTTTTCAGCGTATGGATCAATGGAATTTCCGACCAATGTGTGCTTACAGGGCACCATGAGGCGGTAACAGGAGAACTAGATCGCCACTCTTTCTTGCCTCCCAGCGATATGCTGCACTGCAGTGATTATCCCGTTTGTATCATGTGACTGCGTTGATCGGCGTTTGTCAGGTTCGAGAGACGTTTTCTGCGTCGGCAGTGGACGTGGATAGCTTACTGTTGCAGCTGAAGGCAGCAAACAAGACCTCCGTTGCTATTGGTATGTGTGCACAATGGTAGGTTTCAGTTCCTTGTATGCAATTTCTAGTAAGTTAAGGGCGCCAGGATCTCCTGTTGTTCTCCTGACAATCTGCTCCAAACAGGAGACGATACTTGGGGTCGGTCGTTTGGTCATCTCCTAACCAGGGTGCACGCATTCCCGTCGTTGAATATCCAGGACCTGCACACAGTAGATGACGGGGTCGCTGCTGAACTTCCTCGGGAATTTGGGTAAGGTTCACATTTCTATGCACCCCTCCGGTTGAAGCATGCCGTTTTGGCATAGACGGGATACTGTACCCGTATTTTCGCCGCTTCACCCCCTGCCGCGCCTGGGCTCATATTTTTCATATTTCACTGAGACCCAATGGAAAATTTCGGTGCGGGACTTTTGGCTGAGTTTCCACAGGGGGATACCATGGAAACATGCATAGATAGTATTGCTCTATACCCAAGGATGTGCTGATTGTATGTTTTGCAGGAAGGGCGACTGGAGTTTTCTCGTTGGCCACGTTCTTGGTGTGGACCATGTAGGTCATGCAGCTGTCCTTGATTCCGATTTGATGCATAGGAAGCTAACAGAAATGAATGGCATGATCAAGGACACGTTGAAACTGGTGCTGAAAAACAACTCAAATACAGTAACTTCCAGGCAAACTCAGACGCTCTTTCTGGTATTTGGAGACCACGGAATGACTGAAGCGGGGTCTCATGGAGGTGGTAGCAGCGAGGAAGTGGGTACAAGGACCACGGCTGAAGTTTTTGGGTAGTATTGATTCCTCTCCAGCGCACGGGCGAATTTACTGATTCCAAACCGTATTGCAAGATTTGCTCAATTTTCCAACATGAGGAGGAGTGTTGTTTACTACAGCGCACCTTTCCTTGTGTTTTCATATGCTCGGAACTTTTGAGTGCGTCTGCTTCGTTTCGTAGGTGGAGGCAGGTCTTCTGTCATTCTCGACGCTGCCCGCGATGCTAAGCCCACGTGCTGCACAGATGCTTTCTCCGGGTACACGCCTTTTCGCAGGCCGCCTGCCGGCGTACTTGCAGAACCACGGTGCTTTTTGCGACAGTACTGGGCGTCGGAGGGTTGATTTTGGGTCGGCACTCGATGCAGCCTCCCCAACGGCAGCACTCGGCTATGGGTCGCGCCGCATAAGGCAGGTTGGCTTGGCGCCGACGCTGGCCTTACTTATGGGAATTCCCATTCCATTTAATTCTATGGGACGAATAATAGCAGATGTCGTCCCGAGCATTGCAAGCTTTGTGCCAGAGTGCTTTCCAGAGGCTCTGATGACACCTCTGAACGCCTCAAAGTGCGGTGCGGATGATGGCAAGGCGTGCAGCGAGGGGGAGAGTGAAGATCATGCAGTTGCACGGAGAGTGCGTTGCAGCGACTTGGCCTATCTAACGCAGTTACATCACATCGCAGCATGGCAGCAACATCGAGCCGTTGTTACAAACGCAGCACTGACTGGAAATGGGGCAGTGCTTACAGATCCTCAGTTTGCAGCGGCGAAGGCTAAATGGTTGAAGCTGTATTCCGAGCTAGACAAGGAGATAAAATCCTTACCTACAACGGCACATGCGCCGCTGAATTCAGGCTCACTGGCGCCTAACTCGAAGGCCAGGGAGTTCGATGCCACTATATCGTTGCCCATTCCTGGACTTGACTATGCCGATGCTGAGCTGATTTCAAATATTTCGCGGTTGTCTCAAACCCGTGCAGGTGGTGATGCAAGTAGTAGAGAGGAAGCCGAACGCATATGGACAAGTGAAGAAACCACTGCAGGCGCTGCTTCTGCTTTACCTTCTTTAGTCCCTTACTTGCTAGCATCTGCCGAATTCTCCCGCGAGGCATGGCAGGCCAGTGTTCGCCAGCTGTGCACTTTTAATATCATGCTGATGCTTTGCGGTATATTCATGGCCCTTAGTAGTCTCACCATTTTGGGGTTGGCTGCTTGGGCCCTCCGGAACTCCTTTAGGGGCGATGCAGATTCGAGACCTGAAGCGCCGGCTGCGCGAAGTCTTCCAGAGGGAGTCACCATTGCCAGATGGCTATGTGTTAGTACGTGCATTGGTGCAGGAACGTGGGCGGCGCTATGGGTGTTCCTGGAAATATTCAGACATTTGCTGGCTGAATGGGCGTCTGCATTGCACGTATTCTTGTGGCGTCAGCTCCCTGCACTTTGCCTGACGGGCGCCTTGTGCTCGGTAGTTGTGCCGTTCGTTCAAACTGCCCTGCCTATGTTTCGGGAAAAGTATGCCCAGCGGGGCTTGCGACGTGACTCATTTGAGGGAGACGATGCGCCTCTTCTTGCAGGAAAACGAATTGCTTGGGGATTTACCAAACTGTTGCAGCAGGATTTGTGTCTCTCCCACTTGTGGCTTCGCCTTTTCAGCGGTGGGAGATTACATTGCTACGGTTCGCTGCTCATCCTGTGCATTGTACCCTTTAGTGACTGCTTCGTTGAGAGGGAATACTCTATTGTCAAGTTTCTCATCGTCATTTACTGCATTTCGGCAGGTCTCACTGTCTTCGCCACGCCATCTTCTGGAGGGGATAAGAAACACATTGTTGCTGCGTGAGCGCCACCTTTCCAGCTCAACTTGTACACAGGGAATGAAAGGGTCGACATAGCCAATACTGAAACAATTCTGCATTCCAATCACGCAGGAATGCTTCATGTTTTAGGACCATCTCAGTCCCAGCATCGCATTGAAATAGAGGCGGGGAATTTCTGTTTGCCCAAATAGGTTGTATATATATGGGGATGTTCTACGTGCCCTCTTTATTTCCCATTCTGGCGCGACACTGCTTTGTTGTTGTGCTTGACCTCAGATGCGGTGGACTTGCGCTCTGCGTCCGCGTTGGTAGCGCGTTCGACCCATCTGCGCGTTCAGTTGAAGAGGCAGCGGCAAATCTGTGGCCCTTGCAGATTGACTCCACTAGCGCTAGTGCCTTCCTCATGCTCTGCATTTATTGCGTTGTTGGAATGGACGAGGTGCCTCTCCTCCCACGTATTTTTGGGCGTTGGAAAGACGGTGACCGTTGCTGCGAATCTCGAGAGAATTCCAGGTTTCGGATCGCAAGCTTGTATCCGCTGAGGGGGCGTACGGGGGTCAGGTCGTGCACTCTTGAACGTGCAATTTTTCTTCTCCAGGGAACCATAGCGATCTTCTGGTTCGCATTTCCTGATGAAACGAGGTCCAAACAGCCAGCGTCTAAAGGTTCGAATCACCTTCAGGAACGGCCTGGCACTCATGTCGACAACGTATTTGCATTTTTGTGGTCAGTCATTGTCTTCCCGTTTAAGATCGTCGACTATGCGGGTTGCACTTTCTTTGGATGGGTCATGCCCCCTGAGCCATGCCTGTTCACGGCCCCACGTTGGTTGCTGGGGGTCCTTCCACCGCAGCTACTGGATGGGACGCAAGTCCGCTTGGTGCCTCTTCTCAACGTTCTCCTACCATGGGCAGTATATTTGCTCACTGCGGGGCTGTGGATGAGGCTTGTACTGATCCTCTGTCGCATGAAGAAACGCGAAAATAATCTGAGTAGGCAGCAACTGCGCTGCGCGAAGGCGGAATCGAACGCAGTGGAAGCGGAATTGCAGACGTGCGTTAACGCCGATGGCAGGGCTCAAAAGTTTATTCGGACGGAGGAAAGTGCTCTTATTCTGTGGAGCAAGGAATTTTGGGGATACTTCTCATACTACTTCTTAATTACAGCTATATGCCCTCTCTGCATGTTCGCGATTCTCCTTGGAAGGATGCAGTTGTGGCCACTTCTCCTCTGCTGTACAAAGTGGCGCCTGCTACTTCTTTTGGGCCGAGTGCTCGTTGTGCCCGCCCGCATTGCTTCCGGCCAGAAATGCAGGTGCTGCTTTTGCGTCGTGGCACGTGCACCTCCCGCATATTCTGTAACGGATGCTTCTGCCTACTGTCAAAGAAATCACGACGCCGACGGAGACTCTTGCGGATCAAAACATAGAATGCAGTATCTCCTTACTGATGACAGCTTCTGCATGCTTGCTGCGCTGTTGGCGCTTGACACCTTCTTCGTCACAGGACACAGAACAAAGCTAAGCGCGCTTCCGATTGAAGCGGGATTTGTGGGGCTGTTCGAGTTCCACCCCTTCTGGTCTTTCGTGATGGGGTTCCTGCATACGTACGCTGCATATATAGTATATTGTCCACTTATCTTTATGCTTGCCTTCTTGCGGCCGGCGCATCTGGTGACGGACAAGGTCAGCCCCGTCCACAAAGCCGTACAAGGACTCACAGCTTCTGCAGTGGTGCAGACCTCTGCACTCATGATCGGAAAAATCGCTTTTGGGTAACGCATATTGTCAGCTGTGGGAAATGTTTAGCGCACAAGTGGCTTGCTGCACCGACACTCAGTTGTGCCGTACACGACTGCAAGCGATAAGGAACACATGCCATTTCACTACCGTTGAAGCACCGCATGACCGTGCCCTGCTGTGCCTGCGGCTTTTGTGACCACAGGATTCTTACTGGCGTCACCTTTAAACACTTCTGCTCTTTGCTGTCCCTGACACTCCTCCGACAACATCTTTTCGTAAGTTTAGTTCCACACAGCATCTGGAGCAGTTTGCATCCCCTTAACCAGCTTCGCGTTGAATTTTCAGCACCGTATGATGCGTCCATGCTTCCTGGGGATGTGCAGATATGGGACTTATTCGCCGTTAAGTTCTTGTATGATATAATAGCGGCATGTCTTACGTATGTCCTCATCGTTTTCACGCTCCTTATTGTGGGCATTGGCGCTCGACGGACTCTTGAGGTGATGGCAGTCACCTGATCAGACTCTTCAGCATGTTTCTTGACAGGGATTCCTTCCTTGCCTTCGGTTGGGGGACAGGTCGCTTATCACTATACTCAAAGTGGCGACTGCATTTGTTAGCGTCCTCGAAGCAGAGGTGTGCATACCAGACCCAACCTACAGCTTCCAGTGGGGCTACACGCGAGTTCATCGCTTTTCCCCGCTGTTGAAGAAGCTGACTGAGTTTCTCATGATTGCAAAAAAGACTTCTTGCAGGCTGCAAGCTACCATCAGGGGCATCCGATGTATGTCGTCAGGTGCTGTGCACATAGCTACGCTTATGGTCGAAAGCTTGTATTTGGTAGCCTGCAACGAACACAGCTCATCAGTCGCTTCTGAGCAGTATGTCAATTCATATTTATTTCTATTAACTGGCTGAATTGTGAACTTCCGTATGCATGCTTACCTTCTTCCAACGATGCGGGCTCCCACCTTGTCGTTAGCACTTTCCATCATAATTCTCCTAAGGTCCTGCTGCGCTCCCCTCATGCGGAAAACTGCCCCGCGCTCATCAACCGGCTGTGTTGCATCATAAGGCCCCGAAGGGAAAGCATTCGGTAGACTCGTGTTGGTCCGTGGAGGCCGGCCCTTTGCAACGATCGGTGGCACACCGAGCGACAGTGGGGTGTGGGAGTACCCAGGGTGTGGCAAGTAACCATGCGCTGGTGGCCTAGGGTCGATCATAGGTACGAACATGTTGCGCCCGCGAGGTGGATTTCGCACAGAAGGCAGCTGACGGTAGTAGTATGGCTGGTGTGCCAAAGGAACGTTCAGATCCATCCGTCCATTGTCCGTAGCGGAGTACGATCCTGTATCTGGGGCTGCGGATGCAGCTGATGCTTTTGTGAATGGGTCCTGCGAAACTTGCATTTGCTGTGCTTTCTTCAACACCTCTTCGCGAGAGAGCTGACCTGCAGCGGAACAGCCCTCACAACGTATCTAGGCCCCTACACAAAGACGAAGTACTTCAAATAAGCGCTCTGCGGCAGCACGACTGCCAAACATCCTGAATGGAGTGCGAACAGGGTGGTGCAACGCAATTCGCCAACTCACTTGCATTGATGATCATGTTTAAGATCGCACCGAACAATGCTCGGAGTCTCAGGCACCTGTAACAGAGCAGGGTACGGAGCAGCAAGGGTATTTCGGTTCATGTTCACGTGGCCTACGATCAACGACTGTCTACAGTGGAATCACGCTCCGCATAATACCAAATACAAACTCGCTCGGCTGACATCTAAAAGCTTACCTTACGAAAGCCACAAGCCTGAAAACTCCTATTCTCGCTGCCATTTCCTTGTAGGCAGACACGCGCAACTCATTGAATTTTTTCTGCAGTTTGTCTATTGTGGTATTTGACTCGGCTTCTGTTGTCACCTTTTGCAGCCTGAACACATGCACGCGCAAAATTTCTCCCACCCTGACCCGTACCATCGCCATCAGCCCGTCGTTACCATCGGCTCAATTCTACCAATCGAACATACCTTAGAAATGCCCACAGCAGCCTCTTGTCAACAATATGTTGAACACACAATATAAGCCACCGAGGGGAGGGCTCCTGGTGTGCTTCTCCGTTACTGTTATTTGCTGCATTGCTTGAGCTGCTGGAGTTGTTTCCGATAAGCGCCTGTTCCATTAACGCAACCTGCAGTTTACCAATGACAGAATTCAAGCAGATAAACAAGCTGTTGCATCAGGTAATATAACTAGCCTAGGTGTCTTTACAACTTTTGCCGGAATTCCAAATGAACGCGCGTCTTCGAGTAACCTCACCTTGCTCTGCCTCTGATTAATCCCCTCTTGCTGGAGTTCGGCAACCTGTAAAAACCATCGAACAGATGCAGTCCATCACACTGACTCCTTGTGGATACCACGTGCACGATTTGGGCCAAGAGAGCGAGAGACTCACTTTTGCCATGAGTCTTTCGTTTTCCGCCATAAGGAACATCTGTTCCTTGCGGAACTGCATCAGTCTTGACTCTATCGCATCCTGTCTTCTTTCTTTGGACTCGCACGTCCCACCGATGAGGTCAACAAGTTGTTGAAAAGCCCAAGCCTTGTTCCAGAGACTGGTGTCTGTTGGCATACAGGCTCGCGATATCATCTCCACTGCCCTGCCTTTGAGCAATGCCCGGAATGCAAGCCTCTTCGCCTCTTTGATTGGCATTAGCTTTGCTGCCTGGGCTCGCAGGTTTTCTTCCCTTTTCATTAATGTGTTTATAAATGCAGCTTGCGTCTTTGCCTTCTCTTCCAGGGCCTGTGTCGCCGTCCTTGATATGTCATTTAGTTCCTTCATTTGGGCGAGCGACGTTGTGAGAGTCTGCATGCTTGCGGTAAGAGCTTGTACCCTGCCTTGCTGTTCCATCAATTCCGACTCCTTGTTCTTTAGCTCCTTCTGATGTGTCTTCACCTCGTTCTCCTGCTCCTGTAGGTCGTGCTTTCGTTTATCTTCAAAAGACTTCATAAGACCGACACGTTCCCGCTCGAAGTCCTGAATTTTAGTCTTGAGTTGGTTTTCCAAAGATTCAACTTTCTCCTTTAGCTCGCGTACTGATGCATCGCACCGCATTTTCATACTACTCTGGCGGGCTATTGCTTGCTTTTGTACCTCCTCGCGTTTGCTCCTCTCCTCCCTTCGAAGCCTTTCCAGCGCCTCTTCCCGCTCAGATCTGACTTTCTGTAACTCTTCAGCAAGCTTGACTTGGTGTTCTAGTCTCAGTCGTTCAAGTTCTTCGCTATGGTGTCTGTTGGTTTCCGTTAATTGAGCCTCAAGCTCCCTTACGCGAGAATTCGACTTGGCAAGGCGACCCTCAAGATCTTGAACAACGCCCTGATCAACTGATGGCTTAACTCCTGGAGACACGCGAGCATCTGAAGCTGCGGAGACGAGCTTCTTCGGGACCTTCTGCTGGGGCTTCGAGGTTCCCTGCCTTTCCGAAATCTCATCAGCAAACGGTGTCGCATCTGCCTCCGATCTACCTGTCGGGAGTTTAGGCTGCTGCTTGGACAACACGAGAGATTTCCGGGTCACTGGAGGTCCACCAACGGACGGTCGCTTCTCCGTCTTGCTAGCCTGTGCTCTGTCTTGGGCTCCATCCTCTTTACTGTTGTTTCTCGATGATGCCTCCCTTCGAAGGAGTGTTGTCCATGCATCTTCGGAGTTCGCTTTTTGCAAGAGTTTGCTTGAGATGTCTAGCTCGGCGGCCACGCTCTTCTGGCGAGTAACTGGCTTGCCACCATCATCAGCAACCTGAGGTCTTGGGGAGGATGGCAGTCTCTTCTCTGCCCTGGGGGACTCAGCCTGCCCAAATTTCGTACGTGACGTGATGCTCTGCCGACTCTTGACAGGTAGGGCTGATGGTTTGCGAGCAAATTGAGCCTCCCGAGGAGTAGACGCCACCCGTTCCGACACCTGCCGACTAAGCGGTTGATAGAGCCCCTTTTGGAGCTCTGCGGAGGCACTTTTGACATCATGTGCCTCCGAATTTCTCCCACTCGGCCCCCTCGTGATTACTGCGCTTTTGAGTCGTTGCACTGCCGGTCGAGGGGAGTCGACAGCTAGCAGGGGGTCAGCTATGGACAGTCCGCGATCCACAGCAGAATGTGTAGGACGCAAATGCGCAGATCCTGGTGTAAGCAAAGAACCTAATACATCTACTGGCGGCGGGGGAGGCGGCTTTTTTGAAGGTCCGTTAGGGTTTTTGGGCGTCATATCTTGACGGTTGGGCACTCCATCACTTGGATTCTTCCCGGAAGGTGGCATCTTGCCTAGCTTTGCTGGTGATTTCTTCCCCTGCACTGCCGATTTTTCTTTCATGTTGGATGGGCTGGAGGAGAATTCACTGCTGGAAGAGCTGTCCGACGAAAGCAGGAATTGCGAAGACTTTTTCGCATATTCGGGAGCCATTGTGTCCGCTGATGAGTCTTAAACCTCCTTCACAGTGTTTATTTACCTTCTGTAGCAGATTTGATCCGCTACGCCAAAATATGCACCCATGGGTTGCCAAGATGTTCTATGCCCGGCTTGCTGACGTTCAACTGTGCGGATCCCCTTCCGTGCATTCCTCTGCCCCACGGCACATATAAACGCCACGCAAAACTGGCGAGTCCAACAGGCCAGATTTCGGCGAGCCCATCCCCGTACTTTGTTTCTTAGGCTTGAGACAAACTGGAGACCACCCGAGGCAGTGGAACTGACTGAAGGCACACTGGGACCGCACCTCATAAATACAAGCAGCTATCCATGACAAGAAGGCCATTTATTCACTCCGTAGGGGTCTTTCTTATCCGAGAACGCGTTCATTCGCCGGTTCTACACGCGACCGGGGCGGGCACCGCATCTGGTTGCGCTGGTGGGCAAACGAACAGTAGACACCCCCCCGCAAAAAAAAACTGTGTGTCAAGATTTCTGCAGTGACTCTAAGTAGGACTGTTAAAGATAAATAACCTTAAATTGGGAGGAGGTGCAGCTTTAATCTCAGAGGAGACAGGACGTATTGATCGGATGGTCCTGTCAGCTGAGGCCGGAAGGCTGGATTGTGCCGAAGGCGAGCTGTCTTAAACTGTGGATCCATTCAGCACTAAGACACATGTGGCACTTCTGGAGAAAATAGTAATAACATGAATACAGAAGAGTGGGCCAAAATCAGCATCCGGGCACTGCAACGGAAGCCCTGGTCTGGCCCTTCGCTGTGTCGCTGATTGAGTGCGACACAACGAACGAGAGCAACGGCGTGCAGAAGTTGTCTCTTCCCTTCGACTTCTAGGCATTTGCGGTCTACTACATTCTGAAGCTGAAAAACAAGACTGCACAGTCAAACTATCTCTACTGCTTCCCCAGTGCTGCACAGTATATATGGGGCAGCGCAGAGGGGAGGATGGCGAACCTTCCGATGGTGTAGGAGGGTACACTTTCCCTTCTCTTCCCTTTCGTATTTTTTCACTTCTATTCGTGCGAATAAGTAAGGTAACTTCATCCGGGGGGCACCATAGCGAACCCAAGACGGCAGGATTTGTCCAGTGTATATCGGCGGACCAGTAACGAAGTTTCTAGGGAAATACGGCTGCCTTCAGTGGTTCCCTAAGCCATATGAAGGGTGGGAAGTTTACTAATCGGTTTTGCGTCAGACAAGTCAGAAGAGGCCTACTTCCACCCTCAGTAGCAGACTGTCCCTCGCCACTGCCACTTCCCGATGCAAGGTACTGGAGGACAACGGGCGTGGCCTGGTAGTGGGTCGCCGGGCGTTTCTCGTGTCACCCAAGCAGGTGGTCCTCCTGGTTGGATGCCAATAGTTCCTCCACCGTTTGTTTCCCTCCCTCCCATCCCTCAGGCAAGTCGCTCTCGGTCTGGACACCAGCGGCGGTCTTCACATGAAGCAAATGCTTTTGCCCAGTCGCTCACACCTCCCGCAGTCCCGAGTACTCGGCATACCGATTGGCAGAGCCGTCGAACAGTAGAAAGGCGCCTATACGCCCCTGTGGACAGGAGGGTCACTGTGCAGGCGGCACGAAGTTCCCCCCGCCAGCATGACTCTGGTGGCTTTCGATGGTTGAGCCAAGAAACCCGCACAAGACATAGCAACCAGACCACTCAGAGGAGTGCTGCATCTCGGTTGGAGACTCACGGAGTGGCTGGAGTCCATGCAAACTCATCAGCTTTTACAAACCCCGTGGCCCGCCACACCGGTACGCCCAACGAAAGAATATCAGTAAATACGATTGGAAGGTCCCGGCCGAGGAGCGGTAGTCACTCTACACGGCGTACGTCAGATGATTTGTTCGACGAGCTTGCAAGCGCTTTCAGCGCCATGGATTTTATCGGTAGCCAAGTGCCCGGCAGTGGTCGACGCACGCTGCCCACTTTCGAAGAGATGGAAGGACGCACGAGGAGTTCTGAACACCAATTTTTAGGATTGTCTGGATTTCATTACACAGATGTGAGAGGCCTTTTACCACTCCGTGGCGTTCCGGTTGTTTCTGCGCTGCAGCGACCGGGGTTTACTGGGGCAAATCACACGAGCCACAGCATTGAGCCAAGCTCTCCAATGTCGGTTACCGATAATAGGTATCTGTGGAGTGACAACCGTGGGAGACCCAGTCGGTCAGCTGGGCATTCCAGTGGTATCTTGAGGATATCGTTAAGGAACGATGAGGCATCCATGTTTGAGGACGTGTTTGGGGAAAGCCTTGGATCTCGCTTCCACCGCAGTGCGGCAGCCAATATGATTCGCTCGTTTCTTTCATCCGTGGTGGGCCCCCTTGGGTTACCGTGGCGAGGGCCGTGGGAGTTTCGGATAGGGTTTCCGCTTTCAGAAACCCATCGAGATGCTCACCAGAGGCACTCCCGACTCACCATTGGGGGGACGAATTCTTCATTTTTGCTGTTTGCAGCCGCAGCCGCAGATCCGGCAAATTTTGACGTGCTCGAGCACAACATTGGGCGATTCATAGAGGAGGTCGAAAGCAGTTTTGCATTCGAAGACTTCGACGACCTCGACACCCCACTCATGCTCGTAGTTTCGCGAGGGGATGCTGGCGCTGGAGAAGACTTTGTACCGCATATATGGGGTGGTGGAAGTGGACCTCGTGTTACGTTTCAACAGCTATCGGAGTCGAGAACTCTTCGGGAGAACCTGGGGCAGCACACATTCAAATGGACTTTTGGGGAAGCCAAGCAGCGCAGTGGCCAACCGAGTACCGCTTCGCACGGCGTGAAAACACCGGCAGGCACCAGCAAGGGAATGGCCCAAAGGACACATAGAGGTCTGGGGGAGCTTGATGCTTCAACAGCTGCTTTACCTGACAGGTCAGGAGCGGATGTTCAAACAGAAACGCACAATGGCTACGATTGCTGTATCTGCTTGAGTGCGTTCGAACCTGGCGATGCCCTCTTGACCTTGCGGTGCCTTCATATTTTCCACGAGCGCTGCATAGACAGGTGGATCAAGACAAGCTACAGTGTCAAGTGCCCCCTGTGTTCTACGAAAATTGCGGAGCCTTCAAATAGTGATAACACGGACGAATAGTACACGCTAGCGTTATACTCTGAAGAACCCTCCCCCGTGGCTGGTCGGGACTGTCGCTACAGCTGAGATAAGGGTTCGGCGAGCCTGTTTGCCCCAACTGTAGTTAGTTGGGACTGCGGAATGTAGTTAGACTTGGGGCAGTATTACAAGATGATCCTGTTTCTTCGGCTATTGAATAGCCGGCGGTTACCCAAGGACAGGATCGTTGATCATCACACCCTTTCGTGTAATGAAGTTTTAATGTTAAAGGAGTAGTGCTCCCCCTGTTCCCCGATGCATGCCGCTTCATCATAACCTGAAGGTGCATGGGCCTTGGTGTGCCGACACTTGCCCAAAGATGCGAGTCAGCGCATCGCGGACGTTAGTCACGAACAGTGACAGCTTTCCTATTACGCTTTTAATCTTCAACAGTGCGGCCCATCGTGGCACTTCGAACCAGTTCGGGCTACGTACGACAGCCGTTCGAGGGACGATTTCCGTCTCCACCGAATTGTCTGTTTTGAGCACTGCATAGACGCAGGAGAACTCGAGTAATTCTTTGGGCGGGCAAGCTGGGTTATCCTCATTTGCAGTGGCATCAATTGGATGGCTAGTGACGTGTTCACATCTCACTAGCCAACCTAGCTATCCAATGAAGAAACGAAGCCTGCTGTTAGCCTTGTTCAGTGAAGGATACTAGCTACCCCTACAGAATGTAGAAAGGCACGATTGCACGCGTCCTGAAAGACTTGCACACTTACATTACTCTTTAGATAAACTAGTCGCTGGTACGGGCACTCCTTGTGCGGCATATGCATATGCGGTTAGGCCTCGGCTCTACCATGCGTGGAAAATGGTGTAGGGGCTCTTCTCGTGTGTCCTGTGAGCAGTGCTTGAGCAGCAATTCTTAGTTGTTGCTTCTAACTGCCATTGACCGGGAGGAACGGGCACACTTGTGCAGACGGTGCGCCCCTCCAAAGTGCAAAATATACTAGCACGCGAGAACTCTCGCGCCTGCAAATTATCAGGTTTCAACAAGACGTGGCGTCACTGCCTTTCAGAGCAACAACGCAGGTGTTCCCACCGGTTCAGCTGTCAGTAATCCACTGCACAGTAAGTTCTGCTCAAGACCCTATGGGCACGTCTATGCTGATGCATGGATTACTTGCACCACCAAGCGTTTCCCGAACTCGAAACGTCGACGTTGACGACGGGGCTGGCGCCCTCACAGGAATAGAGCAGGATACAAGAATGCCATGACGAAGACCCAGAGCGACAAAAAGACGATGAAAACTACACGCACCTGCATATTCGAAAAACAGTATCAATTCTCCTTGGTACTCTATGGGAAACGATTTGTGCAATGTCCATTTGCACTACAGGGCAATTGTGACACGGAAGCCTCACGGATGCGCAACTAGCGCGGTACCATTAGCGGGCCTCTAACCCAGTAATCCTACAGTTCCATACTTACCCAGTACCATATTGGCCTGTAGTCTACGCGAAGTCCGGCGGACCCCAGGACGTCTTCCCATTTTCGCCCCTCTTGCGGTGTTGTGAGACGAGGATCGCGATTAGGGTGTTCACGTCCCAAACCTACCTGGCGACAGAAGAAGGCACGAGAGGCCGCGACACTTTTGTCTGCTACTTGCTCCAAGGTCTTTTTGCCACACCAGCTACTTTCGCTTGGCCAAAGGTCTCAGGAAAAGGGGAAAATAAGGGAATGAGGGTGCCACCAGTAAATGCGAATACACTAGAGTACCCGGCAGCCACTCACCGGTCTGCTGGTTGCTTCCGACTGTGCCATAAACTGAAGGGTGACCTGGACGTAACCAAAGGTCTGCACGTCTAGGCTCTCATGAGCCCTATTTTGTAGCCTCAACTCCGCGTCGACCTCGATAGACGCCATAGTCTGTGCAACTCTTTCCAAGTACTTCCTCACTTCCAGGTTAACCTGCAAAGCACCCAAGGTTCACCAGGAGTCTTAAAGCTTGTTGGTACATTCCATCCTCCAAATATATAGCCTCCTTTGCGAAAGAAGCTATGTGGGGGTCTGAAACAAACCAACTCCAATTCTTTCGATGAACCGTCATAACTGCATTATCCATGTTGTACCTCTCCAATGAACGGCGATTCGCCGATGTTGCGAAAGTCGTAAGCAGATATTTGAAGGATGCAAGAATTGACCGGAGCTGCTACACGCGAGTATACAACACGCCAGTTAAAAACGGCAGCCCCGGTTTTTGAATAATAATGAACGTCAGTGCTTTGCAACAGAGGTTGAGAGCCCTGATACTTGGTGCAATCCATTGTGCACCGCAGGACAGCATCTACAGTTTCCTTGTTTGGGCCCAAGTGCTTGAAGTAGAGGCCCCGGCAGCCCCAAAGAACGACTCTGCGGCAGAAACCTCAACAAATGCACCCCTTTCCCACACTATACTGACTTGTGCATGAACTCGTCAGCTAAAAGCATAGAACGCCAGTACAGTTTTTCGCATATTCTGGGGGCGCCAATCGACATAATCACCTAATCTCAATGTCGGTTGATGATGGCTTTTGCAGATTAAATCGAGGAACTTTGCCGGCCTTCTGAGAATCCATCATCTCCAACCACATTTCAATACTTCCAGTAACGTTCCCGTTTGGCCTCCTTGTCAAAGGCCTATATTCCATGGGAACCTCATTCTTCTTCATGAAAGCTTGCCATTCTTTTGAAAACCAACTGCAGTTCGCCAGAAAGCGTACAAACATCCCCATCACAGCCCCCTTAATCCCAGATGTAGAGGTCTTCCCCGCTTTGCTGCCTTCCCTATGCAAAGCAAAATAGCCCCATGGATGCAACAGATTTTAGAGGTCAGAGGTTAAGTTTGTGAAACTCTCATACCGGCCAAAATCTCTGGGAATGCCCAGCTGGTACACCAAACATGAACGCTGAAAATATACTGTGCGTTTCCACGCAAGCTCACCGCTCCTCTAGGTCGATAACAGTACTTCCTAGGAACACGTCATCTACTTGCTGAAGTAGCTTTTCATGAGCACTCCACACGCTGACCTCCAAGCGCGATTCGTCGGGGAATGCAACGTCCCTTTCCCACATAGTAAAGAAATCTGGGTTTAGCGTCCCAGGTTTGTTTTCAGCACGGAAAGGCATCTGTTAAATAACGAAACATCACAGAACAGTTGTATCCTCCACCTGGTAGCGTAATAGCAACCAATGACTCGAAAATTGCTATCCAACACCTGTGCTTATATGAGCTACTTGCTCTCCGAGCTATGGCGTAAGTCTACCAATATCCTTTGAAACAACTTCCAAGCAAAATTCCCTATAAAATAAGAGCTTCACTGGTTCTAAGTTGAGCGCTCTCACCCTTGTCTTTCCAACAGAAAATACAAGGTAGGGGTTCGCAGATGTCATGCCCTTGACTAGGTGGACGTTGATGGCTCGAATAACATAGACCCGAATCTTGACCATTTTTGGGTAGGCTTCATCCCCTCTGAAATGCTTCCGAAGGCGCGATTCATTCAGTGCCCATGGAACCACGGTTTGGTCAACGTGCGCTGATGGCTCATCTGAGAGAACAGGCTCCACAGCATATCGGGCTTGTAAGACATTCTTTGCTCCAGTAATTCAAAAAGTCCTAGTAAACCAAAGGAAAGTTAATGACAACTATGCACACAAAATAGCAATTATGAAGTAGGATATCTTCAGCCCCACCGTTGTGAGTAAGGTTGACAAAAAATTTAACGGATCCTGTTAGCTGCGTTACACCCAACGCTTTCTTTTTGAGGGGATCAGGAGGAAAGTCCACATCCACTAGATAGTTCTCCACGGTTGTTTCGACTGAAGGCCGCTGAAATTGCTCCTTTGTCTTCTTCTCCGCAGCGCGTTTGCCCTCGGCGCACAGTACGAACCTGTGAAGGAATTGAATGACAGAGTGTGAAAAAACCTATGCTACCTGTCAAGTCGAATTCAGAATACCCCCTACGGCCACTTGAAGTTCCTCCTATCATGGGGAGAAAAGAAAAAACCACGCTGCAAATGTAGCAAGAAATATAATGGTTTTATCTCCTGCCTCTGAACTCACTTTGCGGGGATGAACACATTCAAGGTGAACATGCTGCCTGCCAAGAGAACAGGCCGATCGGAGGGCAACGCATACGACTGCACGAGAATTTTTGGCAACGAGTCCGGATTCAGCCATAGGGAGACTACGCACTAAATTCACAGCGCAAAGAACATCGACACCCCGTGCATGAAGACATGCCCGAACCCCATTTAGGCTCACCGTAGAGAGGCTTTGCAACGTGCACATAGCAGAGCGGCTTCCCGGAAATCTACATCATGAAACTAAAAAGCAGTAGACATCAGTGATGTTCAATTATTGCGAGGCAACTACAGGGGAGGGCACATCATTCATCTACCACTGTATCCCTCGGTGAAGCTGCCTAACGTGAGCTATGTGAAGTGCCCTTCCGTCCATCTGTCGTCGCATATCCTCAAAACCCAGTACGACTCGCCTCTGCTGCCTGGTCGCACTTCAGAACTCCAACCTGATGAAGGTAGCGGGACTTGTTCGCTTCAGCAGCTTCCCTGTCGGCGGAGCTTATTGCTTCCAGAACCACATTCACAGTGTTAAATCCCTTTTGACTCCTTCCCTTGCCGCCGAGCATGAAGCCTCCTGTTGGCCCAAAAATTGGAAAAATCTAAAAATGCAAGTGTAATTCGTGCAATGAGCCTGTCATAAAAATATAATTGTTATTTCGGATAATACGGCTAGAATGTGCTGCATCTCGAAATTTTCACTATTACATGCACACTGCGACGCACCCAGCTTTTTCAAATTAACAGAGTCCTCGTAATCACGTGAGGGTCGCACATCATCCAATGCGGTTTCAACATCGGCAATCCACGGTATCAAAGGAATTAGTGAAAGGGAGAATTGGCCAATGAAATACTTAGGTTTGATTTTTCGGTCATACACCTGAGTTTCGCAACTCTCACAAATTGGCACTTGCAATAAATTGTTTTTGAGGGCCAAGCGTTACTCCTTCTATGAAGTGGAATGATGAAGCCCTTGCTGCGCTGCAGTTATCCAACACATTGAGTGTTCTACGTTGGTCTGATGAAAGGCATGACAAACTATTCTGGCACCGATAATATTTGAGTGTGGCTATCAGCAAAAGTACACAAGAAATACTATCTCTGAAATGTAGCCCAAGGCCTCCTCTGGATGGCACAAGATGAATCAGGCCCACTTGGATTGTCAGCGTGGGGTCATATATTGGGTCTTCGGGAATATCCACATCTAGAGAAGCTACTTTTAGAATGTCAAAGCTCTCGTAAGCCCCATTCGACCACCTTCTATTGGGGGTCTGCAAGACAAAGGCAGTGACAATTCAAAGAAGCACGGGAACCAGGCAATCCGAGATGAATCCGTGGTATTTACAAGTGTCACAAGGAAACAAGACTGCAACCTGACTGCGACAAACAAGTATTGTTGTGTCCATATGTAACAATGATAAATGGGCTATCGGAGGCATATCTTCCCATTCTGGCATACACTTGGATCTCCATCTGCATTCCTTTCATATTGAAGAGTTACTACCGTTCTATCCCGCCCTAACGATCCAAAGGACGGGACCGATATTAGCAAGATGGGGTTGCGAACTCGTCTGATGCCGTCGAATTCCCCAAGGACAAGTTTGTCAAAGTCAATAGGCCGGCCTGAAGACGCCACAATAGCACATCGTCGGGCCCAACTTCTCGCAAAGCAACGGCTCCAGAAAAATCAAGGAATCTCAATCCCAGCAACCGGTTGCAAACAGGGTAAGCTCAGTAAAGGTAAAATAAGACAAATATACTTACCTTTTGGCGCCATGATCAAATCTCGCAGATTCAAACAGGACAGGCTGAGCTTGCACATACATACAAGTGGCCTCATCGGATATGCAGGGAGCGTTTCTGCATCCTTCTTGCGAATTAGCTCGAAGCAAACAAGAATATCTCCTCGATGCTTGTTCAGGCGTTTTCCCCCTTTGAGCTTGATCCACCGAGGTTCTGCGACAGAAGGAACTTCCCCTGGCTGTGGCAGTATGCAGGCACAAACGCAAAACGACACATAAGCCATTCGAATTGGACAGCTCAAGTAGCCCCAGTTCCCTGCCCCCCAACACCAGACAGTTAACAGACTGACCCTCAGCCTTCCTCTTAGGCGGTCATAATGACAGACGGCCCTGCCAAGAAGCTGACGACCCCAAGAGCGGTCATCAAACACGCTGGCAACGATAGGGACGACAGTGGGGAGGCGCGTGGCTGTGTCGGTCTGAAAACAGCCACCGAAAACAGGAATAGTACATTAAATCATGACAATTGTCCATCTTACGTATCAACATCAACACAAGCTCATTATAACGAGTGGCTCGGCCAGACTGTTGGGAAAAGGGGAATGTGCAGAAATAAGAGCCTCAGGCCCCGACACCCACCATAAGCCTCAGCTCCAGCTGCAAGCATTCCATGAAAACCGGATTGGAAGTGGCGTCACATGGCTCTGTTTCCTTTGTGACCCCAGCGCAGGTCACCTGTGCAACATGGGGGAACAGATAGAAGCAGTTGTTTGTCAGTCCCAACTTTACTCTCGTTGCCAAATACAACTATATTTTCTGCCACGTCTCCTACGAATGAAAGCGCACTCTCAAGAGCTCCCTGGGAAAACCATATGAGCCCACTGCCATTGCCCCCAGCACTTCTGGGGGTAAAATAGATTGATCGTCATCCCAAATTAACAAGCAGTGAACTTCGTGATAGATGTACCTGCACCAAAGGATTCGGGAGAGCGCCGCTGGGGGACGATATCTTGCGGGCAGTGTAGATGTACGTCCGCAGAATATACTCCGCTGCAACGATGTGCTTCCGCCTGCATCAGGAGCACCATGTCAGGTTACACCGGACATGTTTGATGTGCAGGTAGACATTACCCAACAGGCTGTGACAGTGTCACCTAGACAGTGAGCAGCTCTGTCTAGCAGTAAAGCCTCACTTTGTTCTTGCAGCTGCATCTGTTTTGGCCTTCTCCAGTGTCATGAGAACTGCAGAAGGGGCCAATTTGTCAGAAAGATGTGGCATGGGGTGCAGTGGGACCCACACAGGTGCCCGTGGGTTGTTTTGTACGTAGACCGGTATATTCGCCAGCCTGAATAGCCCCAGCTTAACCAACGCATGCTAATTTCACAGCCTGAATCGAGAGGCACTTGCTGCTCTGAGCAGTTGAAAGAACATGTGCACTGTTAGTAATAGCAAACGAGCACTGGACTGAAGAGGAACCTACGGCATTCGCTGGTACGCCACTCGGGTAGCGTGCGGCATATTCTTGGATATCCCCTTGGCATATACATTGATAATGACGTCCCACTGCTGCTTTTCGTCATCAGGCACCTAAAGACAATTTGCATCCTTCGGTAGACAAGTAAAGTAAAACCAAGTGTAGAGCTGGGACAGACGAAATGGACTGCATTCTGAAAAGGCACTACTAGACACAGCTAATTATGACATTATCGACGCGTTTGTGCCAAACAGCTCAACAACACCGTCATATATGTAAATTTCTTAAGAATGCATCCTTACGGCCATGCGTAGCTCTGGAATGCGTCCATCGACTGGGGAGAAAAGAAAATGGTCCTGGCCTTCAGGAGAAGCCCCTAAGAAGTAATTCGCCATGCCCTTTGCACCTTCCAAGGCAGCAGCCACTGCGGACGGAGCCTCCCCCATTTCACGTTCGCGTTCCTTCACCAAGTCCCCTGCAAAAGAACACACTAAGGCACAGCCAAGTCAAAAGGCAGGCACTGCTGCAAATCAATGGGGACAACTGTTACCCCCAATATTGATAATGGACAATAGTACAGTGAATCCTACCGGCGACCCAGCGAGTTCGCTCTTTCAAGGGCCCACAAGACACCTCCACGTAGATTCTATCCCCAGGTGCTCCTTGAACCTAACCAACAACACAGCGACACAGGCAACACCTCCTTTAACGAGCGCGTTTATGCTGGATTGCCTTCAACTAAGCTATGAGTGCGGGGAGGGCCTTGTCCGGACCTCATACACATCTGAAAAGAGGAGAATAGGAATTACGCGGGGGTCTTCGTAAGGCGCAGCAGCAACCGAATGAGCCGCAAGAAGCTCTGCATCCTTGTCAAGTCGTTCAGCCCGAGCGCTAAGCAGCATACGCCCCATGTATGTGCATGGCGTCAGCTTTCCACTCTGCGCAATGACTTCCGAGAAGTTAGGGATCTCTCCTACGTCGAAGCCGTAGAAGTTGAACCATCTACACAAAGTGAACAGCAACATGAGATGCAATTCGCGCTCTGTTTTATGGACAGTGCATTTGTGCACTTAACAGCTGGCAGTTCTCTGCGTGAAAATGAAGCCTGCTTTACATTGAAGGAGCTCCGTACTTACCGTGGAAGAATGTGCCGAGATCTCAGCTCCGCAAAAGAGATGCGTCCCTGCGGTACAGCAGCAACAGAAATCTTGTAGGGTGGGAAGCTGTGAGCATACGCGTACACATACAACCTCGTTGGCCCTCCCGATTCACTAGGAGCGAAAATTGGCCCTAAGCTGGGCGTACCACCGCGAGAAGCTCATCTGCACTCATGAAGTTCCAGTCCCAGACTTTAATCAAAATAGTGTCCTCCGGGACAGGTGTCATGACGGGGATTCGAAAGCATTCGTTGAAAGTGTAGGAGCTCGTCGCACGCGCTTGTGCCTGCAACCCGTCTCCACCAGCAAAACAACGCACGCCATCCTCTCTATTATCCCATTTGGCGATGACGGATAAAAAGAAACGGGACAAGCCAGAGAAAATACTATACTCACCGTGCGGACACGACAACCAGCGAACTCGCAAACAACGAAAGGGTCCCGCAAACCTGAAGGTACATCACTCATATTCTCAACGCTGCATTATTCTTGACTGGATCACACGCTAAAAAGCCCACAGAACTTGATTCCATCCCAGGTTTTGTTGCCGCCGTTTTTTCCCAAGTGTATAGGTTTGTTTCCAGTCCCCCAATGAGCAGTCCAAGTATCAGGGAACCTTTGAAAGGACCACTGCAGGTGCCGAAGTGCGGCAGCCACATGCACGTCCGTTGCACTATCTATTCACCTTTTGGCGCTGCAGGTAAGTCTTCCAGGCGGTGAATTGTCACGTAGACGTGGAAAGGCCTCGTGCCCTCGTTTCGGACCAAGTCCTCTGGTGATGCAGGGCAAACCAAATGAACCCAGCAACTGGTCAACTCGAAAAACTCACCAGCCATATAAGTCCAGTATATGCGACTTCCGTGGCAATGACCATGACAAAACGAAAACTTCTTCCGTAGAGGTAGGTGCAAATAAGAGAATGTGAATACAAATGATATATTAAGGCACGATAACAAATTCGGGCCCGAACGCACGTTGAAAACAAACCCAGGGCAAGGGCTGGCCACGAAATGTTGCTTAGAAGACAGTTTTAAGGCCACAAACCATCCGCACTGCTTACGGCGATTATCAATGACAACATTTCGCAAGTCGTCTATGAACCCTTGGTTGTCATTGTCCGAGTCCTCCAACTCTTCTCCGGGGCTTGGAGGAGACTCGCCGGGTCCACAGGCAAAGACAGTAACCCGAAGAGACCCCTGAAGCCAAGAATACAGGCAGATAACCAAAACAATAGACCGATAACAACGAAACGTCGAATGCGCCAATACGAGCAAACAGAGGTTCAACAATGCAATGCGGAAATGAAAAAGAAAAACGAGCCCCCAAAACATGGAAACGCAGAGGTATCAAAAGCCTTGTTGAAACGGAGATTACATACAAGAGGCAGACAACATTCCTGCAGGCGAGACAGACAAACACTTGACCTTTCCGAAAGCTGGTTGGAGGGGATCAGCAGGCGTCATACAGCGTGCAGACCCTCCCAACCAGCTTCCTCTTTCTCCTCTCCAGGGGTTCCGAACGGGTTTTGAACATACGTGTAGGTCGGCTCCATCAGGGCTCTGCAGCGGCAGCGATTTCTTGACCTGATGCGTCTTTCGCTTTTGCACCAGAGACAGCTGCAGAGCGACTAGTCCGATTGTCGTGTTCCTCCAAAAGGCGTTCGCGGCTTGCACTTCGAACTCAATGAATGACTTTGCCCACTCCTGACAACGAAAAGCAACCGGACCGATATAAAAAGTAAGCGAAAGGGCGTCGAGCCAACGATGATCCACGCAACCGAGCTCACAGGTGAACCCGGTGAACCTCTGCATGCATCCAAAGTGAGGTCATTTTCCACGTCTCACGGATAGCTGCCTTGACGCAGAAGTAAACAAGCATTGTAAACGCGATTACACAATTGTCTGGCACGCGGCTGTAGAAAGGCACACTGTGGCACAGAGCAAGTTACTAACGGGACCATTCAGTGTCCTCGAAGTAGCTCCAGGAAAGCCTATGCTTGGACTCTATGGGAGGATTCAGTGGGCGTATACTCCCAAATGGTAAGGAATACGTGCATGCGGGTGGGAGAGAGCGCTCTAGATACATGGAATGGCTCACGTCGCTGGAGAGTTCCAAGTCAGTCCATGTGTGGGACTCGTCCCAGGAGACGACATTTGCTTTCGCGAATTTTATGTCAGAGCGATACTCACGTCCGCAGCAGCGCACAACAACGAGAGGATCAATAGGCCGGCCTCTTTCTCGAACTAAGTTCAGAGCTTCGTGAATGGTGAACCCTACGCTGAAGCGTTTCTTCATGGTGCCGCTTGGGACCTCAGTTCCGTGCTAAGACAAAATAAGCCTCATTATTACGCTGAATTTGGCAAAGAAATAGATACTTGTTAAGCCAGGGGCCTCCCAAAAGCCCCCTCAAGAACATCGAGCCACCCACCAAGTGCCTCAGGGAAAGAGCCGAAAAATACGAGAAACACCTCAGGGCCCCCTCCACGATGCTCTGTAGTATACTGTAATAAAAGAAAAAAACAATTCGAAACGAACATATAAAACGACCTACAATTGGACCAGAGTTTCCCCAAGTAAGGTGTGCTGTGCCTACTCAGTAATGGCGCATCAATAACCGTGCGCGTTGACCGATCTGACACTGCAAAGTCTTGCCTAATGGAAGCTAAAATTGACAAATATCAATAAAATGAAAAGGAAAGAAACAAACAAAGTTCCCTGCAATCAAACTGTTCCGTCTAGTCCCTCCTCCGAGGCCCACCGCGCCAGCCAGGTCCTGCCGCAGCCGTGGTTGATGCTCGAGCCTCTTGAATGTGCATACAAGGGCTTCCATTTGTCACAGAAGCTATTTCGAATTCCATAATTATTTTTTAATGTCATTTAGGCTGTGTCTAGCCAATAACCTGCCTGCACACGATTTTTGCCCGCTCGCCGTTGGCGCGGTCTCCTGTCTGCTCCGGATGACCAGTGGATCTGAAGAGTGGAAAGCAGCTGGAAGCTTTCATTCGTCAACTCCACCACCTCGATTCAACACCAAAGCTCTAATCTATCTTAAATTGAACATCCTCCTAAGTCTGGGCTAGCTGAACTGTCGCACGACCTGTGACACTGCAGCCATGGGGTTTGTCTGCAGAAGTTGGTTTAGGGCTTGATAGAATCAAATCCTCAACACAAGACCCTACTCCAAACACGACAAACCCTTCAACGAAGGAGGCTGCTGCTCAGACAACGCAATATCCCCCTTCAAACTAGGCTAGCTTGGGTTCTAAGTGTTTAGTAACCAGTCTGCCAGAACTATAGAGCTGAAATTGTCGAGGGCCACTCCTCACTGCCCCACCTCCAGAGTTGTTACCAGACGTTGGACAGCAAGCCTTTTCAAGGGCCTTCCGGCAGCGCGCTATCTACCCCCGAGAGCCTGCAAGCTCTCAGGCCAAGACAAAGTGACCGTGCAACCAGCTTTCGCCTCTCCTGTGCCATTTACCTTGAGCTGTAGACCCTCTAGTTCCGTGCCACGTGTTGTACTGGGTATCCTGTCCTGTTGTGCTGCCTGCGTGGTGTTTACATACCATGAGCTCGTTTGTGTTTTGAGGTGCTTGCCCTTGCCTTTTCCATGCACTCCAGCTTATTTCCTTTGTCGCGTTCTATACATGACATCTAGCCCATAAACTCTAACATTCCTCCCGCCAGTGAAGACCTGCAGATAATCCCTAACTGTCCGAATGCGAGGGTTGTGCCCATCTAAGAATTTTCAAATTTAGTTTGTGAAGCAGACCAATATACTAATAAATCAGAAGGGCATTCGGAAGATACAGCGTTACAAAAATAGCCGGCAGACATCCTGGACTTGAGTGTTCCCCTAACTGTGGTATAGAAGGCCCCCAGAAGCGCCATTCTTCAGCGCATTGCGCGGTGTATAGGCAGTGTGCGTCACAGTGAGGCGCTGACTGAGGCACAGATCTGCGAGGCTGCTGCCCTGCTGGCCTGCTGCTTCTGTTGGAGGTCTGATATACAAGTTAGTCATGCACACTCCGTCCGTAGGGGACGCCTCTGGGGACGCCATGTTCGAGAAGGGAGATACAAATGCCCGCCCATCAACGAGGCACGCTCCAGCCCCCCTGTGAGCCCCTGGGGGCCCCATCTGCTTGTTTGGCTGCAGCTGCGGCAGAACAGAAGAGGCAAAAACAAGTACATCAGGCATTGTTTCTTCCTTGAACATCACAGCCTGCATCCGCGAAGCATCTATGGGCACTCGGGGGCTGCTGCCTCGAGGGAATAGAGTCCCCTGGCGGACTAGGCTGCGGCACAGCTGATGCACGAATGATTCGTCCTTATCTGGTGCTCCTGCAGGAGCTACACCACCAGCAGCTGCTGCTACTGGTTGCGGCTGCTGATGCCGAGAGAGCGACAGCACTTCTCCTGCCACTTCTGCTAAGGGATCGGCGGTGGTGATGAGAATCCGGAATTCGTTAACCTGCAAGGTGCAGGGATTTCCAGCCAAGTGCACGTTGGCCGGCTTCTGCAGCGGCTGCTGCTGCATCTGCTGCTGCGGCAGCGAGGTCAAAGGCCTATAGGGGGGTTGGGGAAGGGGCTCGGGGTGCATGGCATCGCGCGTGCTAGGGATAATCACGAACTGCGTCTTGAGGCCTCGAGCTGCGGCGTACAGACACTGGAAGAACTCCTCAAATGCCAGGCTAGGATCCGGCATTTGCAGTAGTGAGGCACACTTGGGAAAGTCGGGGCCGGTGACAGAAGGGACAGAAGATGAGACATTGGGAACAAGCGGCTGCTGCAAGTTCAGAGAAGATATGATGGGCCCGCATATAATCGCCACATGCGGCACTTTCTCCTTTACAGCCTCGAGGAGACATCTCAAGGCCTCGCGTCTGCAAAAGCACAGCAACCGCTCTTTTCGTTTCAGCTACATACACCTTAGTTGAATGCGTTTGCATATTTTCTTTGATAATTATCAACCGCCACCAATTCCTCATTAGTTTGGCCCTTTTGGTGTTCATTTATGCGGACAGCAGCTCATCCATATAAGCATGGAAAGCCCTTGCTCACGCAGAGCTGTTCATACCAAAGGGCTCCTACGGAACTTGCCCCTCTCTGCGCATTTGTCGTAAGATGAAGACGGAAATGAAGCAGCTTCAAAATTGCAGGCACGCAAGACGGAGATAGCTAGAACGGGAGACATAAGCAGAGACTTCAGCAGCGAGGCGAGAAGACAGCAGCAGACAACAACGGAAGACTAAGGGGCAAGAGATAAAATTCGCAGGAAAGTGTAGCCTAGAGTAGGTCAGGCAAAAACAAGGTCGCAACCTGCTTAAATACACTAAGCAAACAGTATACTGCAGCGTATGAGGTATCCACAAGAAAGAGGGAAGCGGGAATGAGGCAGCCAGAAGAGAAAGGTGACTGCAGCAAATATGAGACAGCTGAAAAACCAACGACACAGCCGTACGGAGGCAAACAACAAACCCAAACACGACCCACCTCAGCCGCCAACCCCCATTAGTGCAGGGGACGACAAAGGACCCCCTAGAGATGACAATATGGACATTTTGATTTCTGTAGCAGCTCAAAACGTCCAACAGCTGCTGCTGTTGCTGCGGCTGCTGTTGCTGCGGCTGCTGTTGCTGCGGCTGCTCTTGCTGCTCGGGTGAAGCGTTTTGCAGTATGATCGGGAGCGTTCTACTGGCGTTTGTTGGGTCTAAAGGGACTGCCTGGATCGAATTCCGGAGGGACCGAGAAAGACAAGGAAATCTCACGGGGGCGCCGCACTGAAAAGAGGAGACAAGCAGCTGCTGCCCGTAGCTGTCCTGCAGCAAGTCGCGGACAGAGGGTCTCAAGACATCCCAAGATGACTAGTATGGTAAACACACAAACCCTTGCTAGACACTCGCCGAAAAGCAGCAAGCAGTGGAAGCTTGCTCAGCTCCCTCAAACTCATGCAGGTAGAAACCAACAAACCATCGAACAGTTGAGATCTTGTTTTGAAACGTCAACAAGCAACAACCGATAAGTAAAAATAACCATCATGCAAATAACTCGAAAGAAAAACCATGCGACTGCTCTGCTGCTCTGCTGCTCCTGCTGCGCTTGAACCCAAGGAAGTCCCCGGCAGCATCACCAGCTACGCAGACCAAACCAGCAACGCCCCAGGCAGATGAGCCCGCAAGCACATCAGCAGCAGCTTGTCATTCTCTCCAGGTAGCATAGGCGGGAGCATCAGCGACAGCAGCAGAATGGGAGTGTTGGTTCTTGCCTGCTGCAGGCGTCCTTTGACAGCAACAACCATTCCTGGATACAGGAGTGCGTCTGGAGCGTGTGTGTGTTTGCGGAGGCGGGATATGCCCCACTGCTGCAATTGCTGCTGCTGCTGGTGCACGGCCGCCTCGAGACAGAGCAGCTGCAAAGGGGTTTCCCCGTCTAGAGACTCGAGGATTGCGTTACTCCAGTGCAGCTTCCGAGCGCCTTCTCCCGCCAGCCGCCCTACGACCAGTATTTCTCCCTAAGCAACACCCCAGCACTAACCCATACTGGGCCAAATAGATATGCAAGTGCGCACATGCAGGTACGTTGTGCGCATATATATTATATATGCACGAGTACAGGTATACATATCTAAACCACCAAACGGAAGCTACGACAGATAGGTATGCACGGATGAATGCGCATCGATATTACATGTGTATAAATACATTGCGCAGTGTGCATATGGTTGCGAGTAGGCACGAGAGAGAAAAAATCAAATAGCTAGGGGAAAAGAATGACAACGACAAATTGACAGGGAAAACCAAATGTGTATAGCGGAGAGTTGTGGTGAAAGAGATAACTTCTTCGAGGTGCATGTACGGACTGTAGCACTTGAGGCGGCTTGCTGCTGTGGGTCGCTTCCGTCAGTGTCTGCTTTCTGCTGCCCCTTGATCCCCGTCAGCATCTTCCGCTGCAGCTGCTGCAGCCGCTGTTGCTGCAGCAAAAAGTGCGCGCGCACTGTGTCGCTTAGAGAAGAGCCCTGAGGGGATTCCAAACAACCCGCTGACACGACAGCAGAAGCGGACGAGGCATGATGAGCTGGTCCTGAGGGAGGCGCTTCTGGGAAAATACCTATAAACACCTGGAAACAGCAAAGAAAACACAGGGAAAGATCCAAAGGGGGGTCTAGCGGCGGAGACAAAGGGTGCACACCAGTGTACGCCCCAAAAAAAGGAAGCGGGAGACAAAAAGAGATACAAACGGACGGAGACATTCACTGTTTGCTGCTGATGTATTGTTGCCAAAGAAAATCGAGCGCCTGACTGCAATTAGTCACAAAGTGAACACGATATACTGACGCAGAATGGCAAAACAACAAGTAGCAACAGGGTAAGGAGACTAGGGAAGCAGATGGAAGGAGAGTAACAAACAAACTGAGGCAACCTGACAGCGGCACACAGAGCACCTCAGACAAGGACGAAGAAGCAGTCACTCGGCCGGAAGACACGACTTAACTGCACGAAGCAAAGTACGCCAGATGCAGCAGACAAACAGCAAAGAATAACATAAAACGGGCCACTAAAAATCCCCGCACTTGCTGCTTGTTGATACATCGGTTGCCGTCCATACATCCTTCAGGGCTACCCAACAGTACCTCCGTCTCTTCTGCGTCAAAAACATACAGTCCAGTGCGGGACATCCTGTTGCTTCTGCTCCTGCCGAAGCCGCACGTGGCGCCACAGGTGCTGCTAGCACGGTTGTTGAGGGCACAGAATGGGCTAATGAGTTGCTGTGGGCACAGGGCACGCCTAGAAAGGGGCAGCGGTTCTGCGGGCCCGCGAAAAGTGTAAGCCGGGGCTGGTGCGGAGATAGAAGCTGCAGTTGCGGTGTAAGTACAGCTGGTGGGTACGAGCTGAAGTGTGAAAACCTGCCGATAAAGTCTTTCTGCTGCAGGAGAGGTCTGGAGGCAAGTATTTGAGGGATGATTTTGTTGAGGAGGAAGCGAGTAGACGTCGGGGGATCTCTCTCTCCAGTGGCGCCCAGAAACACGGGTACACCTGATGCTGCTTCCTCCAGCAGCTGCTGCAGCCGCTGCAGCGACATCTCCTCCTGCGCTTCGGCCGCCTCGCCTGCGCGAGCTTGCTTTACAGCAGCAGCTGTTGCTGCAGCACCAAGGGCTGCCCAAACATCGCGACTCTCGGATGGCAGAAGCTCCAAGATGCTACCACCACTGTCTTGCCCCAGCAACCGTTGTAGTTCCCTGTATACTCCCGCACGGTCTAACAGGGGCTCCTCTACCTTCATTTTCCTGATTCTTTTAGCAACAACAAAGGCGGCGAGCCCAGCAGCAACAGCGAGTGCCGCAGCACCGCTGCAGCAGCAGATTTAGCGCCCACGAATGCAGGGACAACTGAAATAACTGCAAATCAACGCGTTATGGAAGCGCAGACAGCTTGCAAGCAGGGACACTAGATGGACAAAGCTTATGTTTTTCTCAGGCTGCGCAGGCGACTGAAACTGCTTACTGTTTGCAGCTTGGTGGATAGGGGAGCGAACAATCCATATAAATTCTGCCCCAAAATACATTGAGAACACGAAAATATTCATTATTTAGTGTCTAGGTTTGATAGTTTGTGCTTCGGGCTTCGGGCTGCTGAGTCGGATCCAGCAGTGGGGTGTGTGTTAACGGAGGTGGGGTTGGGGTAGTTTGCAATTCTTGCCATTATTTATTGCCTAATGAACGTCGTTTCACAACATGTATACTTAAAGAAGACTAGAATAGTCTCTCACCTCACTCAGGTGCTCCCTCACCAGTGATGGGCGAACGCGGGTTGCCTTTCCAAAAACGGGCATCCATGGACTGTGTGCTGTCTTTGGATCGTACTTTGAGTCGTAATAGACGTCCTGCTGCTGCCGATACACTGTAGTCTGCTGCATCAGGACAAGGCTTCTCCACTGCGCCAGAGACACGAGCAGCTCCTGCAGCCGCAGGCATGGCCCAGCGGTCGTTGCTGCAACGACGAGTGAGGCAGCGGCTGCTGCCGTTCCAGCAACAACATTAGCACTTCAGCTGCTGATCCAGCGACTGCCTCACCAGTGCAATCGAGAGATGCAGCACCAGCAATACGAACGGCAGCAGCAAGTTTGTCCACCTGTCAAAGAACAGCAGGAACACAGCAGTGGGGACGGCAGCAGCTGCTGCACGTGGAGTAACTTCTTTCCTGCAGACGGGACCTACTCTCGGATGCATGGAAGGGCTGCTTCTGTTGCTGCTGCTGCAGTTGCAGTGCATGCAAGTGCACGCGAAAGATGCCGAGCAGCAGCAGATCCCGTCTAGCGGCGGCAGCTCAGTCCTCGGGCCTTGATGCAGCTGCTGTTGCTGCAGCTGATGTCTCAGCTGCTGATGCGCCACACAAGTATTCTCAACGGGTCATTTGCGCCACGTCGATGGCCGAAGATGCACCACCAGCAGAACCTGCAGCAGCATTTGCAGCAGCAGCAACACACAGTAACGTGAACCTAGTGGAGAAGAAGCTGCAACTTTGTAGCGCGGCAGATATTTGTCTGATCAAAGGCACAGTGTGAGAATCTGCGGCTGCTGCAGCCTGCTGCTGCAGCCTCCCGTGCTGCTGCTGTGGTCTCATATGCTGCTACTGCTGTTGTTGGTGCTGCAGTTGCTGATTTGCCGCCCCCGTTGTTTCTGCTTTGAATTGGACCGAAATGCTCTGATGAGTACCGCTCTTGTTCTGTAGTTCTTTGAGCTCAGATGCTGTGGGATGAGCGGTGGATGCCTCTTGACGGGGCGGTAGTTCTTGCTGCTGGTGTTTGCTGCAGATCGGCTCTTGCATCTGCATCCCTGGAACCTCAGGTTGTGCAGCAGTTGTGCAGGTCCTTGCCTCATGACCTTCTGAAGGACTTTCCGCCTTCCTTGCTGTTGCTACTGCACGAGCAGCAGCAACAGCGACACCAGAAAGATGAGGCGGAACAAACATCCCTGCTGTGGGGTCTGGCTGCAGCACTGCAGAAGCGTTGCAGTGGCTGGAAGGGAACGCCTTTCTGCGCAGCTCAATCAGCTCCAGCAACGGACGTAAAAGCAGCTTCAACAGAAGGTGCAGCATCCGTTCCTGATTTTGCAGTGGCTGTTCTGGAGGCGCAAACGAAAATTTTGCATAAACTGCGAGAGGTATATGTGCTGGTGCTTCTGCTGTTGCTAATGAAGCTGCTGCTGTGGTTGCTGTTGCTGCGTGCTTCTTAAATATTCTGGTAAATTGCTGCTGATGCTGCCCCTGCACCAATGTTTGCTCCTGAATCTTTTGCTGCTGCTGGTGCCAGCAATTTTGTCGGGTTTCCCTCCCGTTTCTAATGTGCTGGGGCTGCTGTTGTTGTTGCCTCCCAGGCCTTGCTAGAGCCTCTTACTGATTCTATGGAAATTCCAGAATTCGGCTATGTTGCTACGGGCCAACTGGCGCGGCATGTTCTTGAGCTGCTGCGGCACAGCTGCAGCACCAACACCCAGCAGCGGCCTCAGCAGGTGCAGCAGCTGCAGCAGCAACTCCGCAATGCCTACTACAGCTGCCGGTGCCTCATTCCTTCTTCTCCCTGCGATCTTCTCTCACATGTTCTTGCTTGTGTGTTAAAACATCATGTGCTGCTGCTGCATCCCCAAGTGATGCCACTTTCGTCGGGGCTCGTAGCTGCTGCAGCAGACGTTGCGGTCTTACTGCATTGTAGCAGTAGCAGCAGTAGCAGTAGTAGCAGCAGCCAAGCCACGTGGTGCCCCCTCTCTGATGAGCAGCTGTTACAGGCTGGGCGTGAGCTGCTTGCAGCAGCAACGCATCTGTTTCCCTCCGAGTACTTCCAGCAGCAGCTGCAAGTGCTGCCGCAAGAGGGTACGCTGAGAAATTTGTTGCTCAAGACCCCCAAAAGCGGCGGGTTCCCTCCTATAAACGCAATCAACCCACAACTCATCTCTCGCCCTCTCAACGATCGCCAAGACGGTACAACTCGCACTTTCTGCTGCAGCTGGGAAAACGTGGTTTTTCTGCTGCACATGTTTCTTCGCTTGAATGGCTAACCATTACTGCCCAGATGTGGATGAGTTAGTTCCTCTGCTTGTGTTATTGCACGTACTGCTGTTGCTGCTACACCGATTGCTGTTGTTGCACCTGTGCTGCTGCTCCATTGCTGCTGCTTGTCACGTTGCTACTGCTTCCTTGCTTTTTCTGCTGAAGATTACTCCGAAGGTTATGCATCCGAGGGAAAGGTACACTTCTTTGCTTCTGCGGTGGTATGCCTTATTCAGCATGGATTGACTTGCTGCAGCAGCTGCTGCTGCTCCAGCCTCCAGGGCAGCCTCGCATGAATTGGGTCGTTGCTGCGGGTCTCGACGTGCTGCTACTGCAGCTGCTGCTACGGTCCTCTCTTCCCCTTATTCGTCCCCTACTGCTGCCCCTGTTGCTTGACTCCTGTGGTGTTGACCTTGAGCTAGATCAGCTGCTGCAAGAGCAACAGCAGCTACTGCAGAGTCAGCAACCGCTGTCTCAGGAAGAGCACCAGCTGCAGCAGAAATTCTTGTTTGCCGCTGCTGGTGCCAAGGCCCTTAGAGACGGCCTGTATATTGTCGCTTCCGTCACCTTCGTGGAACGTCTTGCTGGTCCTGCAGCTCGACCTGCGGCACCGGCTGCACCTGCTTCTAGGCCACACGCCAGTGTGCAGCAACCCTCCCCAGCGACTTTCTTTCAGACGAGCAGCAGCAGCAACGAAAAGGACGGTGGCAGGGGCAACAGCAGGATGTGCGTGTTCAAGCAGGTCGCAAGGGCTCTGGGAAGCCGCAGCAGACACTCCAACAGCCCAAGCGGAGTCGTTGCAGATGTGCTCGAGCTGCTGCTACTGGCGACATTTCAGGGCGACGGAGCGGCACCTGGAAGCAGCAATAACAACAGCAGTGGCCACAGACACCTGCAAGCTGCCTTGCTAGACCTTGTTGACCACACAACCTCAGCAGCAGCAGAAGCAGCAGCAGCGGTGGGAGCATCAGGGGATATGCCTGGTCTCAATTGTGGCTGTGGAGTGTCTGCTCACCTCTTTGGCGCGCTGCTACTGCTCTCGTGTCCGCAGCAGTGGGCGTGCGACAGGCTCTGCTCCCTTGCTTGTAGCAGCGTGGACAATAGCCCCTCGCTACTACTGCAGCCTGACTGTCTGATAGAGGCGGTGTCCCTCATGGGAGACGCCCCGCGTCGATTCGTCTGCAAGGCCGCCACACATCTGCTGCTGCTGCAGCAGCAGCCACAACAAGAACAGCAGCAGGAGGTGCTGCGCGCCTGCGCCTGCCTCATTGACATGTATGACCCCTGCCTTCTGGAAGAATGCAGCAGGGCACTGCAGCAGCAAGGGCGCAGCAGCTGCTTGCTGCAGCAGCAGGAGCGCCTCTATCATCGCCTATTGCTGCAGCGTCTGTTTTCTGTGTCTCTGCATCAGCGGCAGAGCGCAGCAGCATCCCTGAAGCGGCTATTGCAGCTGTCTGGTCCTTTGCTGACGGATCCCGTCGGCACAGCCTTGAGGCTGTGTGCAGACCGGAAGCAGGAGCAGCAGCGGCAGGTTTGTGGGCAGCTGTTGGATGAAACAGAGGTGCAGCTCCTCTGTGCTGCTGCTGCCAATAGGCGCCTTTGTGCCGCAACCCGGACGGAGTCTTTGGATACTCTTCAGGTGTATGTTTACTCCAGCCATGCGCACGCGATGTCGTTCCTGCGCAACCTTTGCTGTTCCCTGCTCGCAGCTCTGCCTGAGTACTTACCAAAAGGAGGCACAGCTGCTGCTGCTGCTGTTGCTGCTGCTTCGGCTGCTGTAACGGCGGCGGAGGTGGGCGCTGCATCTTGTAGTGGTGCAGAGGAGCCCCTTCTTCTCTCAATGCTTGAACTGCTGCGCCGTGCAGTGCAGTCGCAGGAGCAACTGCAGGAGCTTCTGCAACACCAAGAGTTGCATGCGCACCAGCAGCAGCAGGATCAGTACGCGTTGCTGGCTGGAGCAGCTCGTGTGTTATCGCTTCCGCTGCTGCTGTTGCCACCCGGCGATCCTCTACTGCACCCCATACTTGAGGTGTACTGGCACCTTCTTGGGGACGCCTTGGTGTTGCTGTGTTTCTCCAAGCCAGAGAATTTGTCCCTCGCCCTTCTGCAGCTCTGTGCGGCTCTGCTGTTCCACCCGCAGCAGTCTTTATTGCTGGCGCACCGTTGTTGCTCGGTGAACCCGCAGGTAGAAGCGCTCCTGCGGGATCAGCAGCCTCAACAGCATGTGCAACACCAGCGGCAGCAGCCCAGACTGCTTCTGCCGACGTGGTTGTCTCTGCGTGTCGAGCTGCCTATGGAAACGGCCACCTTCAGCTGCTTCACTGCAGCACAAGCTGCGTGGGCTAGCCGCAGCGAAGACTTGGCTTTCCTCGTGGCTAGTCAGCTAGTTAGCGATCGTTCTGCTCTCAATGCAGCAGCAGCAGCTGCTGCTGCTGCCTATGCCGCTGCTGGAGACAATACAGCGCGCCCGCCGCAGGAGAGTCAGCCTGGGATAGAAGACAGAAGCAAGTGGAGTAGCCCATCTTCCGGAGCGTCGTCTGCGATAGTAGATGAAGCAACAACAGCAGCAGCTGCAGCAGCGACCGAGTGCAGCGTGTGTCTCTGTCGTTCGCAGCCTGTGTATTTGGAGTCTGCGTTTTCAGAGCCTTCTCCTGTCAGTACAAACAATAAAACTGAACTTTCCCTTGTCCGCCTGAGCCTGTCTCGCAAGACAGTGCAGCAGCTGCTGATGCCAGCCCACCCCACATTGAATAAACTCCTATGTGTCTTATCTCACCCTCCGCTGCTGCAGGGGTCCCTACCACCGCTGCGACTGCAGCAGCAGCGATTAGGTGATAGCTGCTCTTCACTTCCAACCGCCGCTGCTGCTTCGAGTCCTCCCCCTGCTGCTGCTGGCAGTAACCCGCCTTCTGATGCTGCTACGTACGCCGAGGCGTTGCACTGCTGCAGGAAGATAGCGGCGGCGCTGCAGCTGCCGGGGGACTCTGCTGCTGCTTCTTTCTGCTGCCTCCGCCGGCGAGGGCTTGCAGCAGCAGCAGAAACGGCGCGCTGGTGCTGTTGCTGCTCTCTGTCTCTAGCTTCTGCCAAGGGCTTACGGGCTGTTGCTGTTGCAGTGAAACGGTACACATATCCCTACCTGCAGGAGCTGGCGCAGCAGGTGGCAGAGACAATGCTGGGGGGTGAAGAGCAAACCGCAGCAGCTACGGGTGCAGGATGGGGGGAATTGGTGGAGCAGCAGCCGGCCTCTGGTGGTGCTGCTGCACTTTGCAGCAATGAGATCGACCTGCTGCTACGGGGCACGCAGCTGCTGACAGAGTTGCTGCCCCTAGCAGCAGTTGCTGCGGCCCCTGCAGGAGCAGGCTCAGGGGGCCGCGGCAACTGCTGCCGCCCCTGCAACAGAAGTATCATCGGCGGCGAATGCGAGTGCTGCAGCAAGTGGTTGGAACTCCCGAACCTCTCGCAGTTTTGTGGGAGCCTCCTCGGGGTGTCTATGCAGCTTCCACTGCTGCGCCGGGCGGCTCTGCAACTTGCTGCTGTTTCTCTGCCGCACTCTCTTCCTCCGCGCCCCTGCAGTAGTAACAGGAGTACTTGCCTGGTTCGAGCGCAGATAGACGATTTGTTGACGCTACGATCGGGGGCCTTCGCAACAGGACTAAGCAACAGCGGCAGCAGTAGCGTGCTGCTTCAACTGCAGCTGCAGCAGCTGCTGCAGCTGCATTCACGTTCAACAGCGCAGGATGAGGCATCAATGCAGGAGCAGCGACCCCTAGCAAATGCGCTGGAGAGTCTGAATGCCTGTATCGTGCACAACTCATTTGGTGTTGTTGCTGCTGCTGCTGCTCAGGCGGCAGCAGAGTGGCAGGAGCTAGCGGCAACAGGCACAGCAGGCATCGCACAAGACCACTACCAGATAAACTTGCTGCAGCAGCAAGTGCAGCAGCAGCAGCAACAGGAGCAGGCGCTGCTCGAGACTCAGGTCAAGCTAATGCTTTCGTTTATTCGCAAAGCCCATCCGGAGGTCCGCGTGGCCGCTTGGCGCTGTTTGGGTGGATGCCTTCAAATGGCCACAGGCCTGCTGCAGCAGCACCACCAGCTGCACCTGCAGGAGCAGGACTTGTTGTTGCGTGTATACTCTTGGACCTGTTCGGAAATCTGTTACCGCTTATTGCGGCGAGAGGGTATGTTGCCTGGAGGATTTTGCTGCTGCTGCTCGTCAAGTTGTAGGGAGGTGGCTGAGGCACTTCAGTGTCTGTCGACGCTGCGCTGGAGTAGCAGGTGCAGCAGCAACGGCGGCAGCAAGTGTGGCAGCGGCATATCTAAAGCAGGAACAAGAGGAGGGTGCCCGGCGTCTGTTGCTGCTGCTGCTGCTGCTCTGGATGAGTGGGTTGCAAGTGACTCATTCGTACACCGCACGTTTGCTGCCTTCCTCACGTGCAACAGCAGCAGCAGCAGCACGTTAGGTGCAGTGTCCTACAAGACGCAATTAAAAGGCCTCATTGCAGCTCTTGAACTCCTGTGCTGCTCCGCCGAAGATCACGTGGGGCCCTTGTTGCAGCTTCTGCAGCAGCCACAGAAGCACCTGCAGCATGCCGACCAGACAGGAATACCTTCTTGCACTGGGAGCAGCAGTATCCTGAGCAATATTGTTGCGGCAGTGTGTCCACAGTCGCATCCCATGGTGATGTTGCCTGCCCATATAGCTTCTCAGGGTGCAGCGTTCTCTGCTACTGCTGCTGCTGCTGTTGCGGCGGTGGGAACACAAGACGCAGCCCCTGCTTTAACTGCTGCAGCAAATGCATTAGCACATGTGGGGGGCTCTGTTTGCATCCAGGAGATAACTAAGTGCTGTAGAGCGTTGCAGTTGCTGCTGACGCTTCTGGATGGAACCGACGCCCTTGGGCCGTTGCTTGGCAATAGCAACAGCGCTGCTGCTGATGATGCTCCTGAAACGACGAGAGCTGGCACCGAGTCATTCCTCTTGCTAGGGCATGTAGAGAGACTCGTGCAAGCGGCGACGATGTTGTTGCTGGGGCCTTTCCGTAGCAACAACGGCAGCTGCAGCTGCTGTTGTGGGGAGGAGCTTGAGAACTGGCAGGACAGGCGGAATGCAGCAGCAGCAGCACCGGCAGTAGCAAATGGGCGCTGCACGAGGGTCGTCGCTGATATTGTCCATGAGCTTCTGTTGCTCATGCTGCGGCTGTTTGTTGCGTTGCACGAACACACGGCGCTGCAGGTAGCGAATCAGCTGCAAGGAGAGACGTCAGTCCTGCTGCTGCTGCTACAGCATAGGGAGGAGTTAAAGCGGCAGCGGCAGGAGCAGCAGCAACTGGATAACGAGTTGCTGCAGACGCTTCAAGGTGCCCCGCAGAAGGCACGCGCAGGAACAGCAGCAGCTGCGGCGGCGGCTGCGCAGCGGGCTGCTGCTGAATATCTTTGGGCCTCTCCTTCATTGTGGCTGTTTATTGTTTTGTGCCTCCAGGTGAGTGCATACGCCTGAACCGACCCTGCAGTAAAAGGCCAACTGCCATTTTGACTTTGCGTTTGCTCCTCACGCTTTTTAACGCTTCTTCTGCTGCTCCTGCTGTTGGTCGTGCTGCGTCTCAGCCCGCTTGTATCGGCACGTCAAGCTCGTTTGGGGTGCCTCGAGAGGCAGCAGCACTTGCTGTGTGTCTGCTGCGGCTGTCGTACGATTCATCTTTGAAGTATTTTATATCATCAGAAGCCCGTATGGAGGTGGAGGAGCTGACAGATGCCCGGTTTCCGTTCTCGAGTGCCTCTCCCATTCTGCTGCCTCCGCTGCTGCCACCTCTCCCACACGGACACCTGCAGATGTACCGCACGAAGGATACACAGCAGCAGCAGCAGCAGCAGCAGCAATTCCTGATACCTACTGATCCGAGAATGGCAGTGGGGCTGTTCACAGCCGCTGCTAGTCTCCTATTGCAGCAGCTGCGTTGCCGCAGTCTTGCTGCTGCATGCGCTGTCTCTATACACCAGCGGATTCCTCCAAGTTCTAGGCGCCACAGCACAGCAGGGACAGCTGGTGCAGCTGCTGCAAGCCCTACAGGCAGCAGTGGAAGAGGCCGTAGCAAAGCCTATGGCCTCTTATCCCCATCGCCGAAGATTCAGCAGCATCGGCACCAGCGGCGCCCATCGAGCAGCTGTTGCAGTAGTCCGATGAATGCCTCTAAGCTGTCTGCACACTGCACCTCTCGACCAGCTGCAGCGGGCACCAATCCCACAAGGAAGCCGCACCAGCAAGAGCAGCATGATGATTTTGTATTCTGCAATGATTTTTCTCTGCAGCAACAGGCCTTGCTGCTGCAGCAGAACCGACAGGAATACCGCAACAGCTGTTTGCTGCATGCACTTGGCGAGCTGCTGCTGCTACTGTTTGCGGGGCACCCCACTGCGGCAACTGCTGCATCGTGGACCCGCTTCATTTTCCCCACGGAGAACAGCAGCAGCAGCAGCAGGAAGCCAGAGGAGCCGTTGCTTCTAACCTCCCATTTGGTAGCAGCACTGGAGTGCCTTCTTCACGGAGCTCCTGCAGCGTCCCTACTGAATTTTACTTCTGCTTTGGGTGGCCAGAGGCTCCAGCAGAAGGGTCCGTCCCTGGGGCAGCAGCTACAGCAGCAGCGAGACGATGGTGTTGTGGGCTTGGGGTCGCTACTCAGTGTCAGTAACTGTGGGCGTAGCTGCGGCAATTTGTTGCTGCATCGCGTATTGCTTCTCTTGCAACTGCTGTCAGCAGCATGTACCTGCACACCGGACGGGTTTGCTGCTGCTGCTGCCGCCGCCGCTTCATTACCTTTCGGTGCAGTGGTTGCTGCAGTTAGTGCCTTGTGGCGCCTTTGCTCTATGCAGCAGACTCTCCTCAGCCTGGTAACCTTAATGCGCTAGATTCTGCAGTGGCAACCACAGCAGTAGCTGCACCAGTAATTAGGCGCAACATCTGTACTCACGGTGAAGGACTGCTTTGCTGATGGAGTTACTACTGCGGCCGCTACTAGTTGTGGTGCGTGTGCATGCAGCTGCTCCAATTTTTGCATCGATGCATTTCTGCGCGGCAGCAAATTTCACTGTTGGGGGCGCCCAGCAGCGGGAAGACGGACGGAGTTTCTGGCCTGCTGTTGCTGGAGACGGGAGAAGCCCTCTTGAGACATCGCCTGCAAGAAGCTGGGGTTGTTGCTGCTTTGGTGGACTCCGTGTGCAACTCGCTCAGCAGCAACAGAAACCGGCAGCAAAAGTTGCCGCCGCGTCTTCTGCGCAGCGTCCTAATCCTGCTGCAGCACACCTTAGGGTCCAGCGTAGAAGCACAACCCCTAATGCAACTCATTGAAGTCCTTGCTGCTTCCTTGCGGCCCCGGTTGCACCAGCTGCTGCAGCGCAATAACAACGGCAAGGCAGCAGCAGCAGGTGCTGCTGGTTCTACCCGCCTGCGGTGGAGCCTCAACCCTGTTGACATGCTACTGCTGTCTGCACAGCTCGACTGTCTAGGCGCTGCGGCTGCAGCAGCAGCAACGGCAGGAGACAGGCGGTGCCTCGCTCCTCTGTTTTCAAACGGAGCTTCAGGTGAGTCTCCTTAGCTGCTCTACATACACTACACACCTCATTGTGGTTCAAGAAGGGGATTGAGCGAATCCTGGTGGTGCTACAGCTCGGCAACCACGCATTTCGCAACCCGGCGGTAGCTGCGGTTGCCGGTGGAAGCAGCAGCTGACGTTCGCAGAGTGGTTCTTGGCTTTTAGTTTCCTTTTCTCTGCTCTGGCAACTTGGCTTTGCTTTTGCTTTTGCTGCCCTTGCTGCAGGCTCCTCATATGCGAAGGGGGGGCCGTTTGCAGGAAGCGATAAGGAGTCCATTGAGGACTTTGTTGCACCCCTTCTGCTCCCCGAGATACCGCTGCAATTGGTAGCAGCTCTACTGCGCTTTTTAGTATCGCTGACGGCAGCAACAGCAGCAACCTTTGAAGAAACAACTCCAGGCGAACCTGTTGAAGTGCGACTCGCACGGCCGCAGGCAGTGGATGATGGTGTGTGTGTGTCCCCACGCAAATCAACAGGGCACGCCGTGCCTCGAGCAGCAGCTCGCACTGTTTTGCTGCTGCAGCACACGCCTGTTTTTCATGATGCTTTGTTCTTCCTCTTCATGGTCCGCCTTTCCCCACAGGCTGTCCTTCCCCAGGTGCTCCACAGTTCAGGTAGAGAAGCGCCGCCGCAGCAGCAGCAGCAGCACTGGGGAGGCGCCCTGCGCGATGCACTGCTTCTGCTTTTACACGTCTTCCTCTCAGATTTTCGCCCAGCCAGTAGACTCAAGCAGCATGGAGAGCCTCTTCTCGCTGCTCTGCAGGATTGGACTGGGGTTCTCCTGCACGAGTTGCAGCTCCAGATGCAGCTAGAGCATCCACAGCAGCAGCAAAAGCAACTGCTGATCCTCCCGCTACTTCACGAAATACGGCATCTGCTGCTAAGGAGCGTCCGAGCCCTCAGCACCCTGGGGGCCCATACTGGTACCCAAACTAAATGCCTAGGGGCCCCTTAGGGGTCCTCACGTACCCCAGTGAAATATGGGTCCCCGCGTATCCTAGCTCCCCTCAGACAACTGATTTGGCCGTGCGTGCATTTTGCCCTTGCATGTGTTTGTGGCTGCTCCCCAGATTATCTCTGTAGCACAAATAAAGCCTTAGCTTTTGACGTCGTCGGTGCTCCTCAGAGCCGCACGAAACAGCAGCAACGAGGATCCCTACACACCGCGTCACCACTGGGGGCAGAACAGGCACGGCGTGGAGACTGCGCGCAGCACTGCAGCGAAGCAAAGCAGAACAAAAATGGTGGAGATACTGCAGGCGCGGCTGTGTATAGGCTCATCCGTCCGAGCGATTTTTACACACATGCGCAGTTACGAATATACATATAGATGGGCATATATATATATATATATATATATATA